TGCACTTTTAAGAATTCTAATTTTTAAGCTTGGGAGGAAGAGAATATTCTGTACTTTCAGATTCCCTAGCAGATTTTCCGACCGAAGTCAGTGTAGAAGGATTCGATTTATGGCAGTAGTCTGATGACTTCAAAAGGTTTAGAACCACTGGTATGGAGAACAAGATATTGGTTTAATAATTAATGTAGAAAAATACTTAATTGAATCAAATATCTCTTATTTAATTCTTTATTGAAATGAGTAGCAGTAAAGTGCAAAGCAATACAAAAATAGTTGAATATGAAATTTTTAACAAAAAATATGTTCGTGAATATGGGTAGAAACCAAATGGTTTATAAGTTAATGAATTGATTCGAGTATTACCAGAAGCATTTTTTGTAAAAGAAACACAGAAAACATCTTTGAAAATTAAAGTTAAAACCTAATTTATCTGACTTAAAGGTCAAAGAAAAAAAGGCTTATCATGCTTGATACGTAAATAGAAGGATGTTTACGTACATATGTTTACGTAAAAACATATTACCATGAATTATAACTTAAAAAGTGAAAAATTATCAGAGATTACTTTTTATCACTCACTGCTTCCTTTCACGATTGTATATAATATTACTTTTATTAAAGTTTCTAAACATTTGTTTTTAACTTAGAAAAACATTTTTTTTTTTCTCCTTTAGTTTATTAAAAATGCTTTTCATAGTTTATATTTAACCATATTATGTTACTACTAACAATGAAAGACCTTTGATTATTTCAAATAAACCAAATTTAAACTTAGAGGATATTTTGGAAATTCGGTATTTAAGTCTTGTGAGACCATTTCAATAAGGATAAGATCTAGAAATTGATAATGAATCCAACTAGTCACAATCATTAGAGCCATTTTCGATAAAATTATAAAGAAGTCTAAAACCGATGAAATAAAGTGGTACTTCTGATAAGTCAATGTTAACAAAAAAAGATGCTGTAAGATCCTAGGCATACAACTAACTACCTTAAATAAGTAATTTAAATATTATGACTTTTCATTTTTTAGCTAATTTGTTCACAAACATGGACTACTTTGCAAGATTTGGTTATTTAGATTTAAAAAGTATGTGTCCATTGAAAACTACGATTCAAAAATTTTCATGACTGCAATACATCTTACTTTTTATATTAATTAAAATATCTTACAAGCTGTTCTATCTGGATAAAGATCTACAAAGTGGGTTAAAATGTTGGCATAAAATAAATAATAAGAATTTTTTTGTTTTTCATTTTTGCCTCATCCTGAACTATCCTTCTTAAATTATCATACGGTTAACTATCTACGCGAATATTATAAAAGTAAAACCAGAATAGTCAACTAAAATTGTTTTTCACTATTTGGTAACAACCCTCATCATGTTCTCTTAAAATGCAATTGTACGCTAATTTCTTTAATGTCATGATGACAACGCATTGCTGGGAAATAAATTTGACAATTTCTTCTAGTTTTCACAATAAGACCAATCAATATATGTCAAAAGGTTGGTTTTAATTTAGAGTTTGAATTAAGGAAAGAATATCTTGATGTTTCTGATAAGGTAATATGTGTAATAAAAATACTCCTTTAGAAGTGTGAAATTGTACTCAAACAAAAAATACATTTTTGCCAGTCTACCAACTGCTTCCAGCAGTTCCTGATACCACGCCCTGATGAAGACCTACAAAGTGGGTCGAAACATTAGCGTAATTAATAGAATATTATTCTAGCTTATAGTATTTCTTTGACTTCAATCCCGACCAATTTTTACGTTCATGTTTAAACTAATAAAAGAATTAAAAACAAAACTGGATCAAACAGATGTATAATTACATAAATGGGAAAAAAAATTATTTTAGATAAATTCAATTGAAATTAGAATGGCTGGAGTAATACCTGTCTGAGTGAACTATACATTATATACCTTCTTCTTTGATAGCTCTACAGCCCGGAGTGAGCCTTGGCTTCCTGAACAACAGCTCTCCAGATGGCCCTGTTCTTCGTCTTTTCCCTCCAGTTTATAACTCTCAACCGCCTGAGGTCGTCCTCCATACCCTCTCCAACCATCTTCTTCTTGGACTTCCCCTTCCCTGACACCATAAATTCTTCCTTTGAGCATCTTTTTTGGGATTTTCTCATCTGGCATTCTAAGAACGTGCCCCAACCATTCGATCCGCCGTTATTTTATAAAGTTCATAATTTCACTATGATTGAATAAATCATGTAGTTCCTAATTGGTTCTAATCCTCCATGCTCGAGTTGTTTCATCGTACAAGGGGCCAAATATTTTTCTCAGGATCTTTTTCTCGAAAATCCTTAACGAATTTGTCATCGTGGCAGTAATGGTCCATGTTTCAGCCGCATAAGTAAGTATGGGTCTTATTAAGGTAGTGTATAGCCTTATTTTCGTTTTCATAGATATCAAGGATGATTTAAAAAGTTTTAAATTCGTGAAATACGCACAGTTAGCGGCCATTATCCTTCTGTGCAACTCAGTCATAATTCTGTTTTCATTGTTTCTTTCTGCCCCTGGATAAATATTTAAGTTTTCGAAAACGTGTCCTTCCACCACAAGGTTATGTGAATTTCTTAAATTTTCTGAAGCAATGGACATATACTTCATTTTTGAATCATTTATTTCAAGACCCATAATTTTACTTTCAGCATAGATAATATTAAAAATTTCAATAAGAGTTTGAGCACTTTTTTTCAACAAGAGCAATGTCATCTGCATAAGCACAGATTTGAATGCTTGAATGAAATATATTTCCTTGCGTATTTATTCTATTACTACTTTATGTAACGCTAGGTTGAAGACATTATACAACTAGTAATATACAAAAAATAGAATACTTCATTTCTTTAATAGATGGTACTTCTAATGATTGGTATGAAGAAAAAAAAAAAAAAAAAAAAAAAAATTGGTCTAAATAGAAACATTCATTTTTAAGACTATTTGTTGATAAAGATTGATTAAAAAAAGAGAGATTATGTTTAAAGGTTGAAAATAACAGTACAGTGGCATCAAGAATCAACTTGATTGTGATGGGGCTACTGTAGATGAATTATTTACAGAATCAAGAAAACTGGATGATTATTAATAAAATGAAGAAACCAATAATATAAAATTTAAATGGAAACAAGAAAACAGAGAAAAGTAGAGATATGTTTTAAGTACCATAATGGAAACCTACTTATGCATCAAACATCATAATGAATCTTTAGTATCATTCTACACCTGAGTACAAAAATAAATATAAAGTTAATCTTAATGAAGCTGATAACACAATATTAAATAAAATAACGATATACAAAGGTGCTAATTCTTTAAAATAGAAATGCCAGAGATATTGAATTTATAATAAATCATCAAGGATGAATTTCATCTAAAGAAATTTAAGTTTTTCAGTTTACTAATATGTAAAATAACATTCAATAAAAGAATCGTCTTGAAGATTCTGTGATTCTTAAAACTTAAATTAAGTAAATAAAGAGGAGTTCAGAGCATGGCAATAAAAAATTTATGATTACTAAAAGCCTGTTATAGAACTTTGTTGAGACTCTATAATCAATAAACTAATTACAGTGTAGTAGTTGATTTTTGTGATGTTGGTCCTGTTTAGATTTAAAAGCTATAGTAAAATTATGAAAGCAATGTTTCATGCTATTTCTGTCAATTTAAACTTTTATAAAACAGCTGTAAAGAAGTTAACCAAGAGGTCCAATTTAAAAAAAAAACATTGAAAATCTCTAAATACACCAAAAAATTCATAGAATAATACTACACTTAGGATAAAAAGGACATAATGCTTTGATTTAATAAGATAAATTTCAGAGGAGGGTTTTATGCAATGCATTTTATAAATATTAAAATATAAGGAAGAAACATAAATATCTATGTCTTAGAGAAAAGTATAACAAACAAGGGAAATAGCCAGAGGGCCCTCTTTGCAACATAGAAAAAAATTCAACAAATATAAACAAAAATGTCTCAAAATTGATTGAACAAGTAGGCAGTTAGTACTTAAACACTTTGAAAGAAATTATTAGGAAAATGGACATCCTCTATACAAAAGCAATTAACATCCTAGGTTACATAAAATATAATGATTGTACCAAATCCACTTTCAATCAAAGCGCTTATATAGGGAGAATATATGATAAATTCATTTTACATCACACTATGGCCAATAATCACAATATCAAAGGAACATTAATTTTTTATTTTTAATTGGTAGCAGATAGCAACACAATTTTTATGACAAGACGATGTAATATTTCCATAACTATAAAAAATGACCAAACAATCTATATAGTTAGTTGATGTTTAATACATTAAATAATTATTTTATTAGAATAAAATTTAATGATATCAAGACCATATAATTTTTTACTGTAACTTGACTGATTGGATAAAAATTCATACAGAACAATGTAATTTAGATAATTCAAGGTGATGAGAAAAAAAATTCTCTATATCTAGAATGATAGAAATAAAAATTTAAAATAAACCAACGCACTTTCTTAAAAAATGTTTGAATTTGATTAGATATTTAGAAGTTCTCAATGCACATTATGACCTTGTTAAGCCTTGCTGGTCAAAAGTGTCTTGTAAATATACAGATAAGTTCAAAGTTATAGAGTTATTACCAGAATCAAATTGAGCCGGTATTCAAATGAATTGCCTTTTAAAAATATATGATGTAATTGTGCAGTGTTATAAAATATTTAAAGAATAATTTTAAATTCACAGTAGTGTTAGATCAAAAATACAAATGTTAATCTAATCAATAGTAATGTGCTTTATCAAAATGAACTGACTGGCACAATCTCCTTAAATGCTTTTAGATGAATTTTAACAAACAACATACATCTCAGAACACGAATAATTGATGTTTAAATATAAAGAAACAGAGTAATTTCCAGGGAGATTAGAAAATTATTTAAAATCTACTCACTATCACTATTATGATTGAAAAAGTATAACAAATATATACCGGTTCCTTTGCGGTCTTCTTTTCTACATCTTCATGAGGAATGGTCGAAGAATATGTATCCCTTAATTCAAACTCTGTACTTGCAGTATTTTTAACAGGTATAGAAGCCTGAACTTGCACGGGAGTGGGCTCAGGTGCATCATACTTCTGAGTTTCTAAAGTCCGAAACAACAAATTTACAAATCCTTGTGTTTCTGTAAAATTATGAAGATCTTTTAACATTACAATAAAAACAATTATGATTAGAGTGTGTTAATATATAATTCGACTGATAAGTAATTTATAAATGATAAGAGAATAATAATTTACATACCTTTTTGCAGAAAAACTTCTAGCTGACCAATCATACTGGTCCTCAGCTCTTCGACAGGTTTATCTTTTTTCACAAGAGCATAGACATACTTGGCGAGAGCTGCAGGATCAGCATCACAACTAATGAAATAAATATGAAGTTAAATGTTAGGTAAGAAATTAAAAGGAGAAATGATTCATTAGTGTTAATACTGACCCATCAATAATATGAGAAATATAATTGATATGACACTCAAAATAGATACACCTAATCTATATATATAAATTTTGACAAGCAGGGGGCATTTTAATATGTGGGAGTAAGATCTAATTTATACCATACTGACAATATTATTCGAAATACTTATGCATTAATTATATCCCCAAAAATAATCCCTAACAATTATATACATTAAAAGAAACAAAAATATAGATACTTCGATCTTCCAAATGAATCTTTTGTCCACAACTGGATTATAAAATGTTATTTCAGAATAGGATCATTAAAACTTGAATGCAAAAATAGACTATAAAACATATCTGAAAGATGTCAATATCAAGAGGAACAACATTACTTTTTTGGGATGGATAATACTTTCAATATGATAATATCCAGTACTTACAAATAAATATTTATTATGCATATCCAATTTTATTTTTGATATTCAAACAACAATTAAAAACGCGAATAGCATAGAAAATTTCAACTTAAAAAGTATCCAAACATAATGTAAATCCAATTATTAATTTAAGAAATATAATAGGAGTGGTCATGAATTAAAAAGTATACATTTATTGAAGCTATACTATTTGTATCACTCTTTTTGGTCTCATTAATTGAGAACTAAAGATCAATAAATAAAAAAGAAATTTTATCATAAAGGTAATAATTCCGATTTATTAAAAAAAGATTTTTTTTGGGAACACAAATACACGTTATGTATTGAATAAATGAAGAATGATATTTGTTAATTTCGATTTTCAGTTAACTAATGTTGATAAGTTAGTAAATAATCAACCAGATTGTCCTACTTACAGAGGCTCCAACCTCGCTGTGAGCCATGATTTAAAACTCTCTGGATCGTCAATTATCATTCTGAAGAGACAGAAAACACTTTCACAGTATTCTTTACAACAAATACCGATGACTAACTTGCTACTACAAGAAAAATCCAAACTATGAACAGCCAAAGGTCACGTCTAGAACATAGCCACTACCAAACGAATCAGCCTTGTTTGTATCCAATGGCTCCTGGATATAAAATGTGTATTTCCCCCTCCTCCTCATGCTCGATCACCTGGTATCCGAGTTAGAGCCCTGTTAAGTAACAGGTATCATGTTAAGGTTAGGGGGATGAAAATTTAATAACAAATATTATAAATTTTAAGATATGGCCGAATCCTTCTTCGGTTTTGATACTTCGTTAGAGGTGAGCTGATAGGAGTAAAATTAAATCTAAATCGTATATTTCAAAAGTTTTGTTACACCTGCTTTTACTAAGTGTTTTTTTAAGCTTGTTTTCTTTGTATTTTGTTTTACTATTAATATTTGCTTCTATTTTTGGGATTAAGAAATTGATTTTTCTTAATATATTGTTCTGTGATCAGGGTGATACTTTAGATGAGGGCATTATATCTGATGATGATGAAGGAGATTATGATGCGCTTAATGATGAGACCTTTGGAGGTGATGATGTTTTAGGTCAGTAATAATAATATTTCACCAACTATAGTTAGTATTTAATTAACTTAAGGACTATAAATACATTATAATTTGTGCAATACTGTTATGCTTTGATCACTGAGGTTTCACTATGTTATATTTATGTTGATTATTACAGAGTCATCTTTATTTTCCTTTAGTTTGAAAAAGTTATTACACAATCTGCATCAAAAGGCTTTACTCTTACTAGTGACAGTAAAAGAAAACACTTCAGTATCTTAAATGATGAATTGGAATCATGGTCTCTTTAGTTGGGAATTGAAGTTATAATTATATCATTTTGAACTCAATATTTTTTTATTTTTGGTCCTAAATCATATTTATTGTTCTTAAATATAACTATTGTAATTCAATTTGTTAATAACAGTACTTATTTTGATTTCAATTCTTCTGAATTGTTATTAAAGGTTTTTATTGTGTCCTAGACCGATTTCATGTTTTATCATCTAGTCTCATACGTTAAAACAAACTATTATTAGCATTCTGGTCTACACTAGATAATTTTATAGTTATGTAAATTAATATAAAACATGTTTACCTCAATTGCTGACCCATTGTGTGGTCTTTGTAATTACTGAATGTTGATTATAATTATATGTTACTGACTGTGTCCTGTCGTTTGTTTTGCATTGAATTTGAATTATAAGTGTCTGGTTAAAGTTAATTGTCTACAATGTTAGTGCAGATGTGCAGCTCAATTAACAACTTCACTTGAACAAAATTTATTTTGTTCTTTGTATTAATATTTGCTCATAATCATATTTGTTAACTATTTTACCAGCTAGAACTATCTACATATCATGGGTGATAAATATTCAGTCATTATAAAGTCTTTATTGGTGCCAACGTTTCAACTCAGACATGTGGGTCATCATCAGGACATGTTAAAAAAAATTTAGAACATTCGTTTATCCTTGAAATAGGATTGAAGATTAACAAAATAGCATACAAATCTAACTACTTTGTCCTCTTGGTCAGTGTGGAGGCGAACTTTTCATTGATGCATGTTAGCGCACTGCATCTCTACACTAACCTAGTGTATGATTAGTACACATAATAGGTACATGTCCAAGTGCATCTCATTAATAGATTTAAATCCTAAGTTTGTATACAAAAATTAAAGGACTATATATAAAGCAGAAGATATAAGAGCATAATTTTAATTGTAGAATAACATTTTGTGGAACACAAGAATTCAATATAAGAATTAAGATCTTGTCACTATGATTTAAATTTCAAGATGAATTAAATTTCATATTTTTTAATATATATATATATTTTGTTTTTAATAACAATTTTTATTTTAATTTTAAATTGCTTAGAATTAAAATAAAAATTGATCGTATATACAGAATACTGTTTTTATGTTCTGTTGGCCCAACTCTTGCAAAGCAAGAAATTTGATAGATAATATAGTATTTTGTATGATGGCATTTTTATAAAATGAAGTTTTCAACCCTTAGAGGAGATCACCACAGACTTTTATGACCCTTTTGCATGGTTTAGTTTCTCAAGCAAAGTCAGGATTGTTGTTAAAAATTTTTTATTAACAGGTGTTTTAATAAAATGATTGGGGTGACCGAGCAAGAGTGAATGTACATCACCGTGCGTAGCCCCGCAACCTGAGAACCGAAGTTGTAGATGATAAAAATAATTACAAGTTCGTGTCCTGGTGCCGGGAGAAATCTCTGGAATTAATCCCTCTGCTCTCACCACCAGGCCCGGGTAAACCCCATATAGCCTAAAAGGCGAGGAAGACAGAACAAAAAAAAAAAAAATGAAGTAACCTTACTTTGCAACTTTGCTTTGAATGTTTTTGTTATTCATGTTAAAAATTGAAGAATGAATTACCATTTCCATTAATTAAAATTCAAATGTAGTGGGTCCCATAAATAATATGGGAAATATTTAAAGGAGCAAACCTCAAGAGTACTATTGGTTCATCCTGGCAAACCATTTTACATGATTAAGTTGCATCATAACTTGAATGGTGGTAAGTTGGTGGATTAATGTGGGAGTAGTATCGTAAAGATTTTGGCGTGGGAATGAAAACCAGATTGGAATGTTTCTGGCCCTGAAATGTACCTCTGATTGCCATGGAATAATTATCGCTTTTTGATTTTTAGGATTCTATGAATGATTGGAGAGAATATCTTTTACATATCTAATCCCTTAACACTGGATGAATGATATAAGACAGATAAAAGATGCTCTTTTGTATATATATTCTATAGTGTTCTAAATGTCAGTATGTTGGACGAAACCTGCCTTGTTGTCTAATGTTACATCACATAACCTCTCTTCTTATCTTGTGTAAGCTCAGTTATTCCACCATTTATTTTTGTTCCATTAGTGTGATTTTCGTCAAGTTATATTACATTATGAGGATTGCCATCTTCAGAAGAAGAGGCTATCAAATATTTTTTAGACACCAGGATAATTGCAAAGATGAAGGTCATGAAATGAAGTTCGGCAGGAATACGAAATGGAGATATAGGAAGGATATATGGGATATATATGTATATATAAATATTCGAAGGGGAGATATAGGAGAATATAGGAATTATCAGTGTTAAGGTTATAAAAATTGGCCAATAGCAGTCGGTCCCGACCATCTATTTAAGGAGTACCTATATGTCTTTTAGAAATAGGGTACTCTTAAGCAATAGAATAGATTTTCTTGATAATATTATATTGCTTTACACATAAACATGATTCCCTAATATCACTTATACTTTATAAGTATTTGGAAGACTACAGATAGATAACTAATGTGAATTCCCTCTTGGGAATGCAATAACTTCTGAATGTTTCGGACATACACATAGATCCACTAATGTTTTTGGAATCCCCTTTTCAAATACAATATTGTACAGCTTCTTTCAGTAAGTAGAATCATAAGCCTTTTTGAAATCGATAAAAAGCTACAACACCATTGTAGTCTTAAGTTTTCCCTAGTATTTGCTATTTGCTATAAAAAAAATTTGATCAATAGTAAACATTTCCTTCTAAATCTGCATTGGGGTAGTCTCTGATAATTTCCTCGGCTTATTCCGGATCTCAGTTCTATGTAGGTAAGTGTCCCACGAGTGGCAGATATGGAGATGGTCGGTAGTTAATTCCTTGGAAGTTCCTAGTCCAATGAACTAGCAGACCAACAACGGAGAGTTGTCTTCCAGACTTAACGCCTCTGTGATGTATTGATGTATTTATACATTAGTATTTGTCACTTGAATAAACCGTATCTATACAAATTTTAAAAACTGTCCTTTACGTTCCTAAAAAACAATTTTTTATGCTTATTGATCCATTTTTTTCTTTATCTATGAAGAAAAGTCTGTTGTGTATTTGTTTAAGATTTTTAATCTTTGACTTAATAGATTTCTTGTTTATTGCTATATCCAGTCAATGGATTGTTACATTAAAAAATTTAATCTAAAAATAACTTTTCAAAGTAGAGCTCACTCTCAGTAATCTATTCATCACTTACCTCCATTTTATTTTATAAATTAGTAAAATATTTCATTTGAATAAAGTATAATTATATTCTTACTATAAAGCTACTAAATTAAATTCTAGGGTTTATGATTTTATTCTGAAATCTTACAATTCTATTCTTAAGTAATGGTAAATTTGAATCTGTAAAAAAAAATATGAATATACCTTAAATGTGAAAAATTTTTTTCCTTACTTATACGTAGAAATATGAGAATGTTTTTGTTACAAAAATAATTGTTCCCTTGAGTATATTTTTTCAATGTTAGCAGGAGATTGGGAGGAGGATCATGAAAAGTTAGCTGAAATTACTGAACTTTCAAGGCATCATCAAAGTGTGCATAAACATCAAAATGTTATTCATCACCAAAACATCATTAATGAGGTAAATTTTATCTTAGTAGTTAGTCATTTATGTATAGTTAAGTCCAATTGTCTCATCTGTAATATTGTTTTAAAGTTCTGTATTTGTAATGATACTGTTATGACTCCTCTTAGTATAGCCTTAAATTTCCTTCAGAAACTTGGCTTTTTTAGCATAGCCTGTTTATATTGCAGAATGCATTTTTTTTATTTCATATTAAAGTTGTTTAATGCCTTTTGTTAAAGTTTGTAGGCCGCTTAAAAATAACTGCAGGCTTCTTTCACTTCTCAGTGTATAAATTACCAACTTGCCTTGCCAACTACCCGCCACTAACCAATTCATACACACTACCAAAGCTGTTCAAATCAATCGCAAATCCTTTACCTCCTTGGACAAACAGTAGATAGAGCACTTTTTGATTTTTCCTTTATAAACTCAACAAAATTATCTAACCCACCAGGAGTACTAAATCAACTCTTCTTAGCTCATATAAATAACCTTGAAGAGTTCACATGCGTCTATACCGTTAGGTCAAAAAGATCAGAACATGTTGAATCTTCCGTTGTTCTTCCTACGGAAATTATCCACTGCTCTCTACCCTCCATTTATTCACTCCTATCCTCCGAGCTCTTTGCCATCTATTTAGCTTTAGGTATAATAATCAATGAAATTCAACCATAGTTTTAATTCTTAGTGATTCCTACTCAACCCTCAAGCTAATAGAAAACTTTAAATTATATAACAACCCTAATTGTCTTTCAAATCACACAAATCATTTAACTAAGAAAGAAAAATATAAAATTTCTATGGGTCCCCAGTCTTACAGGAATACCAGACAATGAACTGGCTGAAATAGCCGCAAAAGAAGCATCCATCATACTTCCAGCACCAGACACTAACATAGTGCTCTACGATTTCAATAACTCAGTTTTGAGAGGCCTGGCGATATTGTTAGACAAAGGTTCCTGGTTCCAACAAAATTAATATCATTTTTAATGATATGAATCCACTTCCACAGATGCAAGGAAACCGACTGGAGCAAACCATTATCACACGCCTTAGAATAGGGCACACATGGGCACCTACTCGACTATAGTTCACCACCAAGATGTCGCAGCTCCAATACAGCTTTAACAACAGTACACATTTGGAGGTTGGATCCATCAAGGACTTCATATCGCCTGCTAGGATATAAACTGGCCCTACAATCTGAAAATCAGAAGCACTTACTTCAATTTCTGAAAAACTACTATAGACATATTTAAAAACACAATCTTCATACACGTACTCACAACGTAATTCATAAATAACCTATGCAGCTGTAACAACACGTTATTTAAACAAACATCCTAGCAACATACACATCTAAAAAAATACAACACCAGCTCTACAGACATATTGTAATGTAATCAATAAGGTGCCTCTAACCTATATAGTTGCATACGACACCTAAAATATTATCAAATAAATATATTTTATGGATATATATTTTTTTTAAATATTAGTTTATTTTAAAATTATCTGAAACTGATCTAGAATGAGTGTTAATTAAACAGATTGTATCTTAATTATTTAATTTTTTCTTTATTACTTATTTTTTGTCAAGAAACTAATTCACTTTATTAACTATTTCAGAATGGTGATCTTAGTGCAAAGATTGCAGCTTTTATCCTCGATGATGATCCTGTAAGTTATTTAACATTAGAAATAATTAATTTTAATCTGTTGTGTTATGAGGTCACATTAATTAATTTTATCCTGTATTTTTACATCTTAAACAATTTTTAATTTCGTTTTATTTGATATGATGAAAAGGAAAAAGGAAGGGAACATAAGAACCGTTGTAGTGTGAATTTCATCAAAATTCATCTTCGATATTATGATATAACCTAAATCTGTCACTCTGTCGACTATAAGTCTTGTCACATGTAAAGTTGTAGTAATCTTGTGTTTCAGTGATTTATTAAATTTAATATTTTTTTAATTTTACCATGTAATCAATGAAACTTTCTCGAACCGGGTTGAATGTAGATTGAGCCTGCAGACCATGGTTTGGAGGAGACCTCTGTTCTAGTCTATTTGACCAAATTCGCTTATTAATGTATTTGAATTTACCCATGTGGTTTACCTTTCCATAGGATGTATGCAACTCTGTTTGTTCTGCCACTTCTTCCTGCACATTAATTTGTTCTTATACAGTTTGCTATTTGCTTTTAAATTATGAAACATGAAACTATCATTATGACTTCAAAATATTAATTTTTGTGTATTTTATTTTTTCTTTGTTGCATAATATTAACTTCAATGTTTCATAAATGTGCAGGAACCATCTGAAAAGGATTTTGATAGATTAGATTTATCATCTTTACCTCGAACTCCTAGGCCACCTCCTGGATTTTCCACTGTTACCAATAATAACCATCTGAAATCTGAAGTTCAATTGTCTTTGCCACCGTTTAAGGTAAGTGAAACAGTAACGGATATGTACTTGTTCTTTTCATAAAATTAAATAATACTATGCAATTAAGTTAAAATTTAATAATACCTAGTGTAGCGTGTATATCAAAATGTAGCATTTTTTTTGTGTATGGATTTAGTTACATGGGCCTAAATAATGCCAAGGGGATACTGAGATAGTGACGTCAGGGGTCACTGTCTCAATATACCCTTTGTGTCTTAAGACGACACAAAGGGTATATTGAAAAAAAAAAAATTAAAGCTCTTGAAAATTTCCAAAACAATAAAATAAAATTATACTATTCTAAATGAGTTTCTGTCTAAAGCATTTTACCGGGTGAAAAAACAAGGCATAGCAAAACATATTAAATGATATTAAACATATTATAGAATAAAATAAATTTTATGGCTATAATACATTGAGTTTTATTTCACCCGCAAAAACTGAAAGGACTTATTTGCCAACCCAATGTATAGTATTTAATTTGACCATACCTCCAACTAACTCCTTCTCAACTTCAATTTATTTTGTATTTCAGAATGTATGTACAGTAGAAGAAATAGAAAGGAATTTAATCAATCCGCCAGCTAATAGCCTCCGTTTAGAAGATATTGAGAGGAATCTTATCCCTGTAAGGTTTTATTTTCTGATTTATTAATATTATATGATTGTACGAAAGTAATTAATTAATTGCTATTTACATTTTTATTGACTTATTATTTAACATTATTATATTGTTTATTACCTTATTTTGGTATTTAAATTATATGGAATGTTTTATGTTTACAACCTTTTAATTATTGTTTGATTGTATGTATTTATAAAGCTAGTTCACTACAATGACCTCTCAGAGCTTAGCTCTTAATAAACAGAGATACGGACGGATATGTATCTATAGTTTTTTTTTTTTTAATAACAAAAACCTGATGTATTGTATTTCTTCTTCTTTTCTTTTTTTTTTTTTTATCACAAAATTCTTTTTACTGTTTTACTAATTTTTGTAATAATATGAATCAAACTTTTTTTTAATACTTTGTTATTTATTACATTTATAATTTACATCATGTCTATGATTTTCTTATTTTTAGAAACCAAATCTTCTTAATCTTCACCATGCACCAGGTTTTATTTCCGTCCCAAGACACCATCCTCTGCTTAGTAATCATTTGCAGAAGATGCCATCAGTGGCACCATTTCCATTACCAGCTCAATTCCCTCCATTTGCTCTTCGTAAGTATAGAATGAATCCATAAACAAATTTAAATATCAAAATATATTTTAACAATTAATTTAAAGTTCTTGAATTAGCTGTAAAAACACCCTTTTTAAAAAATCCCATAAGCAAAATAATAAAGTAAGCAGAAATTATTTTCCAAGATTACTGTGATTTAATTTATGATGAGATTTGTTGGTTGGGAAACATTTAAGAAAATCAAGTTTGCTGTGAGTTTGATGTTTTTCAGTTGATTATAATATCTTAGCTTTTGTGTGCAATAATGAGGATGTCTACTAGTTGGGTAATTCTGGTATATCACAGAGATTTTGTAAGGTCGGGAAAAATAGAGAATCAGTTCTATGTCATAAATATATTCTGCAATTTAATCAAAATATCTGGCTGTTTTAATGAAAATTTTTAACCGTAAGTCACCATTATGTAGTGCATAGTAACTAAATTATCGATTGCTGCAATATCAATATCGAACTTCTATCGATTCAAGATTTTCATTATAGTTCCATTTCTAGGGTGTACTGAAGGTTTGAATTCTTCTATGCCAGCAGTTAACTCTACTTTACTTCCAAATTTTGATACTTATGGCTAGGGATGGGCAATTCCGACTATAGGTCTTTAAAAATTGTTTTAAATGACTGAAAAATCCTTGAGACAGAGGAAAATGAGAACGGAGAGGAGTACAGAAAAATAAAGAAATAAAAAACGATTTAGAAAAGGATACTTTATACGACAACGAGTATCCTATTAAGTGGTGGTTTGGTCTGCAGAATAACTATCCTAATTTTCACATCATTGCCAAAGAAATCTTGAGTATAGTGGCCATTTCGGTTCTATGTCAATGAATCTTTTCAAAAGTGGCATGTTGATTAATGAACCTCTGACTCTACTATCAGCTGATTAAGTAAAAAATGCTGTTTTTAAATTCCAATTTTTGAATTAATTTGTATAAAGTTTTTGTCTCAAAATCCAAGATATACTGTAGATCATCCTGATAAATTGGTAAAAATTGATGTTGAGTAACCAGAACATTTTTCTTAGGTGCTAGGTGATTTTCTAACAGTTTGATAAGGTCGTCTTAGGATACTCGGTTGGTTTCTTACGAGCTGCAAGAACTGAGACTATTTTAAAATTTCTTGATCCGATAGATTACTTGCATGTTCAAGGCTTACTATTTTCATCCATCGAGGGATATATCGTATGAACTGCTTATCTTTTGCCATCAAGAACGCTCCAGCTGAATTCAATCGAATTGTTGATCTAATTCTAAGAACAATTCCAAAGACCAAATACTACTTCGATGACATAGTGGTACATGGAGCAACAGAAAATGAATGTAAATCAAACTTAATAGCTTGCCTTCAGCAACTTTAGAAATTCAATCTTCACCTCAACCGCCATAAATGCAGTCTGTTTAAGAAGCTCATAGAGTTTCTTGGCCATATGGTCCAATTCAACAGTATTTTTGAAATTACCAGCCAAAATCAAAGCAATTATGGAGCTACCTCAACCAAAGAACTTTGAAGATTTGAGACGTTTTATTGGAATGATAAAGTATTATTCCCGGTTTATTCCTAACATTTCTTCAATTACTGCTCCATTATATTTATTATTAAGGAAAAGTACTAAGTTTAAATGGAATAATCAAAGCGAATCTTCATTCATAATGCTCGAAATAGAGATTGTAAGCGAACACATTCTTGAACCTTATGATCCAAACCTTCAAATACAACTAGACTGTGATGCCATTCTTTATGGAATAGCAGGAGTTCTGTCTCATGTTACAAATAACCAAGAATGAGCTATTGCTTCTGCCTCTATATCATTGACCCAGGCGGAACAAAACTACTCGCATCTTGACTGTGAAGCACTTAACATAATATTTGTCATTGACCGTTTTAAACAATATCTTTTTGCACGTCCGTTCAAATTGATCACGGACTTTGAACTTAGGAACGGAAATTAGGACTCTTGAGAGAATTTTCCACTAAAGAGCGAAAAAATCCTCATGACGTCAGCAAGACGCGTATTTAATTATGAAATCGCTTTCAAAAAAAGGAAATGAAAATGCAAACATCGACTGTCTTTCAAGTGCACCAAGCGATAAGAAGCCATCTACTAATGATGCCATTAATGAGGAAGTTCATCAACTGTATATGGTGTCTATTTCGATCATTTCCATTCCTGTGCTAATTTACCAATCTTCGCGCAGTGAAACCATGAAAGATTCACAACTGTCAGTATTCCTTGGCAACCGTATTGTGTATTCAGAATTTATGATCGATGATGACATACTCTTTTGAGGATTGTCAACAACAAAGGAAGTTGTTGTTCAATTAAGTTTACAGCCAGCAGTTCTCGAAGAGCTCCACCGGACTCACTTAGGTGCCACCAAATGAAACAATTGGCACAACATGATGTATATTGGAAGCCTATCGATGAGATATCGAAACGTTAGTCAAAGCATGTGAATCATGCGCTGCTTTCAAAAACAGTCCACTGAAAGCACCTCTTTACCCGTGGGAGATCCCAGATGAAAACTTGCAGCATGTCCCCATAGACTACACTGATCCATTCCAAGGTCTCTATTTCCTATTAGTAATCGATGCTAAATCGAAGTGGCACCCACATCACTACCAATGATTAAATGTTTAAAAGATATTTTGTTTGGTTTGGGTTCCCTGAAGTCCTCGTCTCAACCACATTTACAAGTGTTCTGCAAGGTAGCAAGTGTTTTTCACAAACTCATTGCACCTGGCCATTCATCTACTAACAGATTAGCAGAACGCAATGTCCGTCCAGACTTCGAAACACAGGCTGGGAGCAATGAATGATGAGCCTCTGATGAACATATCAAAAAGGAAGAGAGGTTCTGTTTCGTTACAGAGTATTCAGGTTCAGGAAACAGAGTATCATTTTATTTGGCTTCACAACAGGTTCCAAAATATTGTCCTGATAGTTTTTAGCGGCATTTTTCACAAAAATGGAGCTTTGTAGTGCTATCAAAGCAAACTCCCCACCAAACCATTAATGAGGAAGGGTGATGACCTCTTTCCACTCTTCCAATGACTTCCTGTGCATCTTTAGAGCTGTGTGCATACTCATGATCATTTTGGCGATCACATTTTTCTTCAATTGTAAAAATTTTCTCATCGCTAAACGAAATCTTTCGATGAAGACCATCGGTGTAACGACTAAGGGGCACTTTGCATCTATCTATTCTAATTTTTTTTTTAGGGAAGTTCTGACAAAGATTCCCATTTCCTGAGACATGATTTGTTGTTTTCGAAGGGGATTTCTTCTGATTTGAGCAGCCACTGCTCTCACTGCATTTGCCGTTCTCACAGTGCGAGGACGTCCCGGTTTAGGTCTCACATACAGATTGAGTCTCATTATATCTATTTATAGTGCGATATACGAACATACGGCTGATTTCAAAAGGTTTCAGAGTCCCTATACACAGAATCCAATTCATCTTTGATTGGGGTTGTCGTATTGCCTTTAAAAAACAAATATTTAATGACAGCTCAATATTCAATTTTGTCCATTTTCACAAAAACACACACATCAACTCACTCAAAATACTGTTACATAAAAACTGTGCATCCAAAATGGCTATAACTTTAGTGGGTAACTGTCAACAGATGAACAACGAAATTCACTTGCTTTTTTTTACGACTGCTGCCATCTTCATGTTGCGGCCAGAAACTTTTCAGTACTGATCTAACTGCCAGATAGGTTTCTGATTTGCAAGCCTGAGGGCTAGGAGAATCATTCCTTCATGCGAAAGATGAGTAACGAGAGTCTTACTCGACAATTATTCTGATATTATTTTTTGATCAGTTGATTTTATATATCTTCAACTTTATTTAATAAAATAAACATACTTTTAAAGTACAGATTAAACAATAAAAAAATATATTTTAAAAAGTAATATATATATACAAAGGAAAACATATAAGTCATCTTCTTATGCTGAGCGTCTGGTGGTGGCGCAGTCTCGTAGTGGGCACGTGAACTACGTGAAGGGCCGCTACAATTCCATTTAATAATTAAAATTAATATAATAATTGTTAATAATATAATGACTGTTAAATACGGAAGGCATCGATCATATTGAGTGGGAGTTAATTTAAGACCAAGATCTAGAAAACTACCAGGTTCGCTCACAGAAAAATTTCTGGTGGGAGTATTTGAATTGTGACGTAAGCACTAGACCGCTAAACCTACCTATTGCTCTTTCAAGCCTATCACTGAAGGTTTATTTCAATATTATTGGCCCTTTTTCTCTGTTTTCTTGTTTAATTTATTGAAGAGAATACTTTTCTGTGTTTTTGACCTTTTGATTGATGATAATTTCAAGTGGATAAATAAATAAATAAGACTAGCAAACTAGATTAAAATGCTATGAAATTACAGACTAGTCCTGAAACAAAAAGAACAGAATAGATATTAAGATTATTTTTAAATTCTATATTTTAAAATAACTTACTGAAAATAATATAAAAATATATTGCTAAAATATAAAAAGCAAATATTTTTATTTATTTTAGGAAACAAAACAACATTGTAGCACAGTTTTCTTATAATATTGTTTGTAGATTTGATAAGTATTTCTTTGAATAATGTAACAATATTAAAAGGATGCTATAAAATTGTTAGGATTTGCAGTCAAAATTTCTTTAAATTAAACAAAAAGAAACAAATTTTGTATGCAAAGCCTGATAATTTTTTTTATCCTTATAATTTTAACAATCAACAACTTACCCATCTCTTTAATAATGTTATAACGAGTATTTCTTTCTTTCTTTTTTTTTTTTTAACATGTTGCAGAGAATTTGTTTGTTGTTATTAATATTTCTTGCATTTTTCATAATAACATTACCATTTATGGAATCTTATAGAATGCCGAGTGCAAGGTGTGCAGTTGCATCATGGAACAATAATATAATTTAAAAAATATAAAAAAAAAACAATATTGTAAAATTGTTTTTATTTGTCGAATTGTTTTTTTAGAAAATAAAATATAGAAATTGAAGAAGAGCTAGTAAAGGCTTTCTTTCAACAATGTGTATTCATAATAATACATTTTTGAAATACCTAAAGAATATTACACCAACCAAGAAAACCTAAGAGCTAAGACAAAAAATCTGATTCAATTGAAATTGAAAGTGCATTGAAAACTCAGATTTGAAAATTTTCACAATCACAGTACTTTTTCTTACTATGTGTATATATATAGTCTTATCTGTGATTATTTCTATTGAAGTTCAATCAGCTGGTCGTGGTATCAATTTCTTCCTTAAATATCAAAGTTGTGTTAACTTCACACATATTTTTATCTTCCTGGTTGGCAAGCTTTGTTCTGAGTGAAGAAAATGATTGGTCTCGTTAACTCTGAACAAAAAAAAGTTGAATTTTTCCTATGGATATTTTTTTCCACCCATTTTACTTGTCAAAACATACCTATTAAGTATGTATCACTACTGTTGGTGCAAAAGGTCGTATGTAAAATCTTTTAACTTTTATTCTATTTGTGCTAAAGGTGACATTTTGTAGTCTGCAACTGATATAACCATGGAAAATTGCAGAGGGCAATAAAATATGAAATTATACTAATAAATCATAAAGAAATAATTAGTTTTTATGTTCTAGAAAACACTCAATTTTTACATACAACATTTTGCACTAACAGTAGTGATATGGTTGTTCAGTATGCATTGGAATATTTTTTTCTAATTACAAATTATCAAATATTCAATCTGCAAATATGGAACTCTTTTGCATTTTAGTATTCTCTGATGATCAAAATTCTTGGATATCAAACCCCCTGTATATGTTCAGAGATTACTAAATTTCCAAAAATGGCTTCTCCCAGAGATTTTATTCTCATAGGAAAAAAAGTTTAGACCTTGTATTAGATATTTTTTAGCTAATGGAAATGGTGAGGAATCTATATTGACCTTACTTGGCAGATTTTTTTTTAATGTTGTTTTCTATTGAAAACATGTTTATTCTTTTCTTTCTAGGCACTTAACTTTACGTTAATATTAAAGAAAACTTATTTCTGATTGAAAAAAAAAAATAATTTATCAAAATATTTATTAACATGTATTTCTTCAGAAACATGAGTTATCTGGGATATGTCATCTAAAAGTTATTGACAGCTACTAAAAAAAAATCTGGCATACTAAACATGCATACATTTGCATAAAAATCCATTCAGATCATAGTATAATTGAAAGTAAAAATAATTGAAATTAAAAAGTATATAATATTCCAATATCAATTTTAAAATCCCAACATAAATTACCATTTGTTTTTTTATTTCCAAATTTTTAAGATAAGATTATAATTACTTCATATTCATGTTTTTAAGGTTAATAATTAATTAAATATGGGTATGTTACTATATTTTTGTTCCCAAATAAACTTATATGTTTAAAAACAAACATTTAAGTATCAAATAAATAAACAAATTAGCTGTTTGATAACAAACTTTTTAGCATCATAATAGTTCATATACCAGTCAAAGTCCATTTCTAATTCAGTTGTGACAGATATGTTTATTGATAGTCATAATTTAAAATATGACATTAGTTTTAGGTGAGAATATGTTTAATTATTGTTAAAGCAATGCTATTTCTTAAACAATAAGCTACATTATCTCAAACTTTAATTTTATTTTAAACTTAAGTAATATTATGTCTTAAAAATAACTGTCATGTTAACAATGATTTTTTAAATAAAATTGAAATGAGAAATCACCGTGTTTTGTTAGAAATGATTGAAGTTAGATAATCAATCATAAGGTAATAATGTTTGTTGTCTCCCAGTTTTGTGGGAAAAGTATTTTGATAGTTTAGGAGGGTGGCGAGGATAGTTTACAATAGTTTAGCTTTGTTTCAGTATATCAGGAGGATGTCTACTCATTGGGAATTTCATAATAATCAATATGTGTGGCATTCCGTTCCGTAAAGTCTGGGGTTAGATGGTAATTCTTTAAAAAAATTATAAAAGTCATCTATAGCTGTACACTTTTTTCTTCAATTTTTATAAACTGTTAATTAGTTAATTTTGGCTATTTGTGTTTTTTTTTCTAATTTTAGCCTTGTTAGGACATTTATGTTTAAATGTTATTAACTGGTTTTATTGTAATCAGATGTTATTTCATTGGCGATTCCATTAATATGTACTACTACTGTACTTATTTCATTATAGAAATATTATATTTCGTATATTGGTGAAGACCCAAAGATTTATTTTCTGCAGGTTAATAACAATTCCATTGTCTAGGCACCATTCTTTCAGAAGGTCCATTGATACTTCAGGGACAATCCTGAAATCGTCTTCAGTAATTTTTCCCCAATTAATACAGTGTTATCATCAGCATATCCTTGTGTATGAAATCATGTAGCATTTAGATTTTTTAACATACAGTCAACAACGAAACGCCACTAGAGCGAGGACAGTACATCTACTATATTAGCATTTAAAGTAAACAACGTTCTGGTAAAATTCCTATTCATGGCTTTTCTATATTGAGTTGTTTAATAGCTGTTGTACCACATTTCTTTGGGTATCATCTATTTTATAATAAATTATTGCAATTGAATATCCTGACTAGTTATTATAGGGCAGCAATCTCTTGGTCATATTGAGTCTACTGAATAAACTAATGGATTAGTTTCCTCCACAAATTATACAACTTCTATTAAACATGCTATAAAACATGATAAGGAAACATTGTTAAATTTTTTCATGAATATAATTATTGTTTTTATGATAGAAGCTGGTGCACTGAGGATACCACCTCCTCCTCCGCTTATGAGGTTAGGTTCTGGTCGACCTGTGCCTCAAACAAGGTTGCCACTTCCACCACCGCAGTTGCCTGCACCACCAGGGGATGAGTATGCTGGGTTGATGACCCCAAAGGAAAAACAATGGCTTGCCTCTATACAGCTCATGCAGTTGTCAACTAATAATCCATTTCAGGATGACTATTATTACCTGGTATGTATTTTTTTTCCCAATTTCATTATTTAATTAGTATGGTTATTTTAAAATTATATTTCTTACTAATCATTTTAAAATATTTCTACCCTAAGCTTTGTATACATTCTTTATTTGTAGTTATTTAACTACTGCACCATGCTTTCTATAAAGACATTACTATTAGTCTGTAGTACAGACCACTTCTTATCAAATTATTAACATCCGTCTGAAACTTCATCAGTAAAAACTCATAAATACCCATTTGTTTTCCCCTTGGATCTTAAGATAATTTTATCATAAAATCGATTAAAAAGGTGGCCTACAAAAATATTGGGCTGTTTGGCCTATATAACCTCGTTATTTTGACAATTTGGGGATGTAGGTCATGTGCCACATGTCTCAATATTTTTGAAGACCACCTTTTTTCTCGATTTTTCGCTCAAGTTATCTTACAATTCAAGTAGAAAGCAAATGGATATTTACCAGTTTTTAGTGTCTAATTAAATGGACAAAGTTTGCCGAACTTCAGATTGAAAACGCCCCATTTTCGAGAATTTTCGGAAATAAGATATTTGTAGGAAACAATGAGATGAAGTTATTTACATAGTTTCAGCCGGATGTTAATAATTTGATAAGAAGGGGTCTGTACCATGGACTATATCATATACAAATTTACTTATGATTATTAGTGGAGCGTTCATTTAAACTTTAAAAGAAAATATTTTCATTAATGTTTGGATTGTTAAAAGTCTTATCTCTTATAAATATAAAATATTTATTTATTTATTATTTTTAGATGTTCCAACATCGGCAACAAGGAGCCCATGGTAGAAAGGGTAACATCAAATTATTGCAAGTTCCATCCCTTACCAAGCATACTTATACTCCTTTGCAATTTGAGAATTCATTAGGGAAATTGCAGGTATATACGTATTATTTATTTTTTTATTACATCTGACAATATTAATTTATTATATCACTATTAATTATGGTAAATTTGTTTGAGATGAAATTGAAAATGGGGCTGTTGCATATATTTAATTAAAAGTTATATATTTCCATAAATTAGCCTAACGATTATAGTTATTAGTGTCAATAAATAGTAATAATGTTCTTTTATGATAAAAATATGTAATTATTAATTATTTTATTTTTCAAACTGTTGCCCCAATCCTTGAGCGTCATCAGTAAAATGTTATGCGATTAAATGATGTTTTAAACATTTTTTTTTTTTCGTTGGAATTTTCCATACAGCCAATTTTAACCGTTTAAAGATGGTGAATTCATATATGAGTTGAGAGGGAATATGGCCTAGGCAACGGTGGACTCATATATGAGTCGAGGTGGAATTGGGCGATTCCAGGCGACATTGGAGTTATATATCAGTCATCTTATATATCATATTTTCATCTTATATATAAGATTTTATATATCTTGTGGCATTTCTATGGGGCAGTGGATTAAAACAAATAAAAACAATGTTTAATGTTGCAGCGATCATAATCTTTTTTTATTTTTTTTAAAAGGTTGTACTTATTTCATTATCTTCCTCTGATATATGTAAAATGTCAATCTAACAATAAATTTAAGTACACAATTTTTAACTAGTATTTTTTAGAATATTAACATGCCATTAGTGAGGTGATGCGTACCGAAAAAGGGTTGGATCTGGGTGGGACAACACCCATGCTGGGCTATGCGGATGATCTGGTACTGTTAAGCGAAGACATGGAAACTATGAAACTAAATACGACAACTTTGAATGCCAGTAAAGAGCTAGGACTCAAAATAAACACGGATAAGACAAAATATATGTTACTGCAAAAATGGCGATATTTCTGGTGATATCGATATAGATGGTAATATGTTTGAACAGGTAGAGAGAAGTTTAGCTATCTAGGGTCTACGATAACTAGAAAAAACGAAATTGAAGAAGAGATTAAGGTTAGACTGAAGGCAGGAAATGCTTGTTATTTTTCTGTGACAAAACTACTTAGCTAGAGCCTCTTGTCCCGGAACTTAAAATTTAAACATTGTCTTACCTACAGTTCTTTATGGTTACGAAATGTGGCCGCTTACATTAAGGGATGAGCAATGTCTTAAGGTTTTTGAAAATAAAGTATTGCATAGAATATTCTGACCGAAGAAGGATGAATTAACCGGAGAGTTCAGACAGTTACACAATGCCGAATATTGGCAACTATATCCGGGTAATATAATTGAGTTGATTTCATCTCGGTGAATCAAATGGGCTTGTAAAATTGTTGGGCTTAGTAGCGAGAGAATTCCTAAAAGGTTAATATTTGCTGTACCGAATGTTAAACCTCTGAGGGGTAGACCGAAGCGTAGGTGGGAAGATTGCATAAAGGCCAATCTGAAGGGACTGGGTTTGGACGGCGAACGGTGGAGGGAGGTGTGTAATAAGCGATTGGTGGTGTCGGCATCGAACCTTCGGGTTCGCTAAGCCATTTATTATTATTATTTATTATTTTTTAGAATAGAATAAATTTACTATTCTATGTTTTACATATATTACTTCCATTCTTAGTAAAATATAATAACATATTCAAAGTTCTCTCCTTCAAAGTACTCTGAAACAGCACTCAATCTGCAATACTCCATGCTAAATCCCTTCACTTCCATCAATCCCTGTCCAGCACTCCAAATTCCAAAGCCAAGTGGGCTATCCTCCGTAAATTTTCCTTAGGCAAACCCAGTCTATCCCTATCTCAGCTGAAGTACTGAATACTCACTTTGTCTCCTCCCTCTCCCATTCCTCTTTCCTAGTGCCAACTCCCATTCCCATTCTTCCCTCCTTTAATCCCAATCATTTCTTCTTTTCTCATATTACTCCCGATGACTTCCTTAATTCTATTCGTAAATCCGTAACCAATGATTTTGGACCAGACAAAATCAAATAAATAAATTGATTAAATTCCCACTTCATTCTCCCTGTCCTTTTATCATATTTATAACTTTTTGTTGCAAAGTTCCACTTTTATCAACACATGGAAAACTGCTCTTGTTTGTCTGCTAAATAAAACCTCCAATCCTGCAACCCCTAATGATTTCCACCCAATTTCTCTATTATGATATAGTAACATTTCCAAACCTCTAGAACCATTAGTTCAATCCCAATTATCCCACTATCTTTACCAAAATAACCTTCTCAACTTCCACCAATCTGGTTTTACACCTGACTACTCCACCCATTCTGCCCTCATTAAAATCTCCATACAGCTACAGACCAACAGAAGCTCACCATCCTTATTCTCCTTGACTTTTTCAAAGCCTTTGACTCAGTAGATCACAGTATACTCCTTGGCAAACTTAAAAATATCTCCTTGTCTTCTAGTGTCCTTAAATGTTCCAATCCTTCCTCACCGGTCGCTCCCAGTATGTTGTAGTCCCTAATTATCTCCCATCAGGGTCTATATCCTTGTCTATATCCAAAGGTGTTCCGCAGGGGTCCTCCTTATCTCCCACCCTTTTTCTATCTATATCAATGACCTTCCGTCCTCTATCTTGCACTGTCAATACTACCTGCATGCCGATGACGTCCAAATTTACCTTTCCTTCGATCTGGCTGATTCAATTGCAGCAATCGCACAACTTCAGGAAGATATGGACAGAATCTGTGCTTGGGCAAACCACAACAGGCTCACCCTAAATGCCAAGAAGACGAAAGCTATCCTGATCAGATCTCTGCACTCATAAAATCCAATCCTGTACCTCTCAATCTTCTCCTAAACAATTCACCTATTTTGTTACAAACTTCTGTTAAAAACCTTGTATTATTTTTTATTAAACCCTCTCCTGGAAACCACATATCTCCCAAATTTCCTGTCGTACTATTTCTACCTAAAACAGTTCAACCGTCAACACTATCTCCTTCCATACAAAAAACCCATCAACTCCTGGTTTCCTCTCTTGTTTTCTCCACTTCGACTATGGTGGTATGGTATACGGAGAACTTGAAGCCAAACTTAAATGCCTGATGAATTGCTCGATACGCTTTATCTTCATCATCTCAAGAGATACGCATATTACTAAGAATTATGCCGAGTTGAAGTGGCTCTATCCATTCTACTGCCGTCAGTACGTCCTTGCTACGTTTCTATACCAGGCCATTAGAAGTCAGCGATTCTTCAGAGCCTACAATTCAAATCCTCCATTCAATCCCGTCCCACCAGATCCCATACTTCTGACCTCTATCCTCATCCTCGCTGGACTGCTGTGTTTGACAAAGCCGTCTCCTTTTTTGAATTCTATTCCTTCCGATATCCGACGTAAACAATCAGTTTCCTCATTTAAATCTCTCCTTTTTAAGCACCTACTCCTTTCCCAATCCGACTGATCACAAAATTTACATAAAAGAACTTCTTAAGATCCTCCAGAAACCATGTTGTTTACTTATGTTATTTTATTTTCCTTTGTTTAGTCTATATATATATTTGTATGTTTTTGTTTTGTTCTTTTTTCTTCCTACATTTTTATTTTTAATTAGATATTATTTTGTAAATATTTAATTTAATGTATGGCCACACAGGCATTTCTCAGAATTTATATTTTGTTCTAAAGGGACAGTAGTCCCAGGATGATAAAAATATTTTCATTTTATTTCATATTTCAATATTTATTTTTTTAAAGAGAGAAGATGAGAGAAACATAAAACAGTTTTGTTTTTAGTTAAGATCGACCGATACTGATATTAGCCTTTTAGCCGATTATCAGTATCGCTCGATATGCCAATATATCGGCTTTTATTTTTTTGTTTTTAACATCTTCCAAATTTTCTGATCCTCCCCTTAAACCGATATACCAGCCTCTTTCATATTGACCATTATGTTTATTGTTAATAAATATGTCAATCATTCATCAAGAGATCAAGATAAACATAAATAAAGAGACCAAAATATTGGCCTTATGACCTTTATTTTATTGAGGTTGGTAGAATTTGATATATTTGTATTTAATTTTTTTTTGCTGGCTCTTCCCTTCCTCTAATTTGGGCAGATACCAATATTCCAAAGACCAATATATCGACCTCACAACCTCATATATCAAGATTAGTATGGTTTGATTTCTTCTTTTTCAATTTTTTTTTTTTTTTTTCCTACCACTACCAATTTTTTCTGTCATCTTCTTGAACCAATATATCGATCTTTCGACCTTATTTTGTCGAGATTCTAAAAATTTCATTTTGAATGCTACAGAAAGCAGGACATACTTTTCTCTTCTATTTATAGTAAAAAAATGAATTATGGAAGTAACGACCTGATACCCTCTGTTATTGTAAAGGATGGATTGTAGATAAAATAATTTGACCCCTAAACGTTAATAAAAAATCTAATATTTACAAATATTCCTAATATTTACAAAAATGTGATTGACATCCATTGGGTAGCATAGCTCCTGGCTGAAGGCTAATAAATGTAATGACATTTTTTAGCCATATATCTAAACTATTATGATTACTAAATTTTATTATTAAGATGTTCATTTTTGTGTGATTTATATCAAAATTATTATTTCAGGTTGGCAGTGTAATGGCACCAAGAAAGATAATTGATACAGATGTAGTTGAAAGTGTCGATTGTCCTGGTCATGGTGTTACTGCATTACCATCTTCTCGGAAGATTAAGCAGCTGCTTTTAGAAATAGAACACGTATGTTTGAAATATTTTATTTTAACTACATTCTATGGATATATTGTCATGTTCAGCCACATTAGGTTATTTAATTTTGAAGTTACAATGAAAAAAAATTTTAAATATATTTTTCGTCAATTGACACTTAAGCCATTTCAGGATATCTAATCATTCCTTTTGAGGAGTCTATTTTACTTGGGTTATCAATTTTTAAGCTTGAGGGAAGACATCCCATTTAGATTTTAGGGCCATAAATACTTCTCTCAGATATGATCATCCATCAAATAGTCCATTTTTTTTTTTTTTTTTACTGAATGAGCTATTACTGAAATTACTTAATCAGTTATTACTGAACTAATTTCTTCTAATCCTTCCGATTCATTTTTTTTTTTTTAAATTTAACTTATATTAGCTTTGTCAAAAGTGCCATACCACTCTAGAAACAGAGGACTTGGCTATGGGAGCTTTCATCCAGTGTTGTCATCAACTTCTCAGGTGCTGAATAGAAATTAAATTTCCCTACCACTGACAGGGCTTGTAGATCCCTTAGAAATTATCCTTTCACTACCAGTCAGTCAGCAAAACTTGGTCACTTTTACTGCCTGGACACCACACGATGTGATACCTAATCTTAGATTGTCCTGGTGAAACTGGTATAAAATATAGCATTAAATGAATTGTACTCAGTAGATTCATGTATAATATCATCATATAATATAAGAATCGCCTGATTCTCTTTTTAATGCTCGTAATTAAAACAAATAAAATATATCCACAAGATTTTTTGTATTATACTTTTAGTTTATTGTTCATTATTGGAAACAAAAATTAATCTTTAGGCTTGTTCTCATAAATCAAAGTTAATTTACCAATTACAGTTAATTTATAAACCATAAAATGATTGCCTTTAAATCTTTTAGTTAGTCTATGGACTTTTTATTTGGCTTTAAGATTTTAGGCAAAACCCTATTTTGAATTTCTTGACCTTTGGTTTGATCAATGAAAAGAGTTATTTTAAGTGCTAACATTCAAAGAGTTAATTTATTTTATTTATTATTTTTAATTAATTTCTTTGTTTTAATCTATTTCTAATAAGTTTTAAAGTTTAAATACTAAAAATAAAAATAAAATAAATTGTTGTATTTGGTAATGTATTGTTTAGTTGTTGTTTATAGCCTCGATTGTTGTGAAGTGCATTATAGTGATTATGGTGAGTGTATTACATACCAGTGCTGTTTTAAGTCTCTGGACTTCATGAACATTACAAGCCTGCCTGAGTGATTCATTTTCGGAAGGCTGAGTTACCAACTTCCTGTCCACTTTTGCATGAGCTCTGCCACAGTCTTTTACTTTTCCACTGGCCCAATTGCAGTTTAACAAAATTATATGGGCACTCATAAATTACCTCAATGAATTCACCGTAGGAAGACAAAATTATCTGCTGTTCGACCGTTTTTACTGATCACCATCTGTTGGTGTCAGAGGTATTTCAAAATTAAAATACAAATCTTTCCCCAGTGCGTTTCCTCAAAGGTGGGAAAAATTCGATCAAAATTAAATGGTGGGAAAGAAGAAAAAAAATTAGGGAACATGAGACCTGTAAAACATAAAAATGCATGCACATCAAAATATTATAAAATTATTCAGTCAGTAAAAATGGAAAATAAATAATCCCCCTTTTGAACGTTTAAAATTTATTGAATAAAAAAAGAGATATAAATTTATACAAAAGTTGAACTAAACAATGGTGAAAAGTTATGACAAAAAAAACAACAAATACAATATCCAGAGAAATTAAACATTAGAAATAAAATATAAATAAAATCAACTTCTAAAATTATAAATAAAACAAGAGAAAAAATTACTGTTCAAATAGAATAATACTAATTTAGCGAAGAAAAAATATTTATTTAAACTATAAATGTCTTAGTAATGGTTAGAGAAGAAAACGAAAAATATCCCAAGTTGGAGGCTATACTTCCATAGAGGTTTCTTTGTACAGCTAGTGACAAAAGCAGTCGATGGTGGGGGAATCAATATGTATATCGATCTTAATCGATGACTGGAGATGACTCAGCTGGACTCTTCAAAATGGCGCTAGGCTGGGGCAGGTGAGGTGAGACGAGCTGGAGCTGGTGAAATGGTGGGGGTAAATGTCCAATACGTGGACCCAACTCAAATGGCAGCTCACTCCAGGCTAACCTATCGGCAGTCTTATCGCAATATTTGTGTCTTGATCCCCAAGAATGAGCATTACTACCGGGCTGGTGTGTATATACAAATGTGATAACACATCGCAAACGAAGCCAAATATACAAAAAATGTACAACTAAATACAGTTCTGGGACAACTGTCCCTCAAACTTTTACAAAAAAGAGATAAATAAACATTTATAAAACAACATTGAAAAAGGGATGGTGAGAAAAATAATAATGAAAAAAAAAAATAAAGATACAAATGCATGCGGCGTTAACACCATCTGCACAGTCACATAAAACCTTGACACTATGTATAAAATGTTATTTAACATTAAGAGCCTTCCCAGTGACGTAAAATAGTATCATTTTACTTGTAAATATTACATATGTACTAATGAAACAGAAAACATATATGGCCTAAGTAGTTTCTACATTAATAAAAATATATATAAAACATAAAAGAAATTTTTCTCTTTAAAAAAATAAAACTGTAGTGAACAAAGAAATAACTATAAATAGAATTATTAACTTCTAATTTAAAGTTGTATTCTTATATTGAAGTGTCAAGGTTAGAGATTTTGGACTTGGATTAGACGATATGAGACTGGAATGTGAGAAGAAGGTATTGAAAAAGGAGGGTTATGAAACAGAAAAGTCTTCTTTTTTTTCCAAGTCCACTTGAATCGTAAGATAACTTGAGCACAAAGTCGAAAAACAAAAAAAGGTGGCCTCCAAAAATATTGAGCCGTTTGGCATGACCTACACCCCCAAATTTTCAAAATAATTAGGTTATATAGGCTTAACGGCCCAATCTTTTTGTAGGCCACCTGTTTTATCGACTTTGTGATCACGTTATCTTACGATTAAAATGGAAAGCAAATGGGTATTTACGACTTTTTAGTACCCAATTTAATAGCCACCACATACCATAAGTTTGCTGACCACTAGAACGAAAAAGCACCAATTCCGAGAATTTTCATAAATAAAATATTTGTAGGTTATGATGAGATGAAGCTATTTGTGAAGTTTCAGGCGGATGTTAATAATTTGATAAAAAGAAATCTGCACCATAGACTGTTATGGTTTGGTGTAGGTAAAATTGTAATATTGGTAATAACAGTTTAGAAAGAAATATTGTTTGAAAGGTAGGACTGAATTTAATTTACTATTAAAGTGAGGCACATGAGGCTCTTTAAAATCAATTCATGATTTCTTTCAAGCTGTTCTTGAGTAGATATTACCTTGCGGATGGGGCTGTTTCATCAGTAGTCTTAGGCTTAGAATTGGACCACGTGTAGCCTTTCATCTTTAACTTTTTCCATTTTCTTTTTCTTTTTTCAGAATGTTTTAGAAATCATCTTTTATCCAATTATCTTTATTTTTATTTGTTTTTTTTTTTATCTTTTAAAGGTTTTTAAATGGATGATCTTACTTTTTAGTTTAGGAGGATACATTACAAGTAACATAAGTCTATGCTGTCAATAAAAATATTTAGATTCACTAATTTTAAGTGTTGTCACTCATAAGTCTTTGTTTTTGACATTTACTGTCAAATTCTTAATACTTTTCTTGAAATAATTATAAAATTGCTATCCAATTTTAGTTTATAAAATCTTTTCACAATAAATTTTCAATATTACTGTCAAAAATACAGCATAAGGTTACTGCTTTATCACACTTTTATTTCTTTAAAAGGTATCAAATATTATCTTGGATAATTAAAAATTAGTTTCTTCTTCAGCAGTTTACAAACTAACATTGCATGTGATTGATTGATTAAGTTTTTTCACCCTTTTTGGAAATAAGCAGATGACAAGTTATTGTTTGCAATTTAAAACATTAAATGTAGTATAATTCATTCTGAAAACAATGTCTTCTCTAATCTATACTGCATTGAATTTTTTTCAGCTATTTTCTTCTATTCTATTGGCTGAAGAGGTTCTATCCTCACTGGCAACAAATCCACCTGAAAACGTCAATCCTACTGAAGTTTTTACTAAAGCTGTTAATGCACTTTTAAAAGATGATAAGCTTAGAACTGTCCTCAGTATTAGAAAGGGCAAGGTTTGTATTTGTACTAAATCTTTTTATTTATTTTTATTTATTCAAGTATTGAGCTGTTACATTGTTGTTACAGAACCTAGTGTTAAGAATACTTCCTCACACAGACGTTTCTGGTCCACTTGCTGAGCGCTTGATCATAGTGCTGCCGACTGTAGCAAAAAGGGACACAGATCAGACCTTGTTGAGGGCTCTTCCTGCCGTTAGACATTATCTTGCTACAACTACTCTGAAGACTCTCAACACTCTTGCTTCTCACCTTCAGCCTCATTTAGCCATATTACTGGAAAATAAGGTAAGGTTATTTGTTGAATTTTGACTGATTTAATGGTGTCCTAGAGGTTACTATAAATGATCTGCTGAGTGCCTGTAGCACCTACTTCATCATCGTGTTACATAACTCCTTTATTATCTGTAGGCATTAAACCTATTACATTTCAATTTTTAAGGGCTTGGTACCTTATAGTTTAGTCAATAAATGATAAAAAAGGGATTATAGAAGGAAAGAATACACGTTTCATATTTGTGACTTTATTTAGGCCCTAGTAAGGAGGTAAACATACTAAAAGTAAGGAAATGAGGTGTGGATGGGTACCCATCATTTTCATTAGCATGGCTCTACAATTCGATGTTGAATCCTTGCCTCCTCCAGCAACTTCCGCCAACTATCTCTGTCCTCTGCATCCACCATCCAATTCCGAAGCCCCAGCATATTTGTTGCATCAGCAGCAACACCATCAGCCCATTGCAGCTTTGGTCTTCCCCTCCTCCTGGTTACATGGAGTGGCTCCATCAGTAATTGTCTTGGTGGGTAGGCACCCACATAACTTTTTTTGTTTTTTTACATATTGCAGGCAGGATGGCTGAGCTGGCTAGCTTGTGTGGACAGCACCACGTTGCCTGGCAACCGGATAAACCAAAGTTAGTGATAAAATAATTACAAGTTCGCGTCCCGGTGCCGGGGAGGGCTTTTAACTCTGTCATTATCCCTGCCTTTACCCCTTGGCCTTGGAAAAGTCATGTATAGTCTTAAAGGTGAAGAAGGGATGGATAAAACAAAAAAATAATTTTTTTTTTTTGCCAATATCAGTGAAATTTTGTCTCTATGCATGTGCATCATGCATAGTTTACGAGTTATCTGTTCTCATAATTTGCTAATTTTGAAAAAAGAAACAGTTTTGTCTCTAATTTTTATCTTTATTTGACTAGCTATCTCTTTATCTCTTCTTTCTACGAAACAAAGTCCTGAGGGAGATAATTTTACACATTAAATTTCCTTAAAAAATAAAATAAAGATTACTTCACTAATTTATATTCATCCCTTAAAAAGTTTCATCAATTATAACTTTATGTGTGAATTCCAATATTCTACAGAAAAAACTGAGCTTAATTCATATTTTTCATTTTATTTTTTTTTTTACAAACTTAAATCCATGTTTTTTTCATTTTATTTTGTTTTACAACTCATATATTTCATTATTCCACTCCTTTTACTCTTGGTACAAGTCAATATAATTATATATTTCTCTTATAATGCATATAGGTAGAGTTATTGAATCTCAATATGTCTCTAAATTAGTATTATGACTAATGTTATTACAAAATATATATAAACCTAATTATTTATGTGAAATCTCTATCCATTCAGTTAGGTGTTTCTGTGGTGGCCAATATGATTGAGCGAGCAGAATCAATACTCACTGTCAATCCTACATCAGAAGTGAAGGAGACCTGGCTAAAGTTCCTGAGTTGTGTGGTCTCAGCTAGTTGTGATGTTGAAACCGTTGAGAGACCAGTCGTCGGTATTCCGAGCACTATCCTTGGCAGGCATCTTTCACGCTTACCACCTTCGAGCCATTCTGCTGTCCTCTTGAAAGCCATTTCTAATACAGCCCCATCGTAATACCTGCCTTATGAATCTCATTAAATGGAATATAGCTATTAATGCCTAATATACATTTGCTAATTGTAAATAATTGGTGATTTGTAAATCTCTCTCTCTCTTTCTCCACATCTTTTATCTCTCTATTGTTTTATTTTATTTTTATTTTATATGGCCATGAAATTTGTTTTATATGTGCCAATGATATTCATGTCTGTAGTATTTTGTTTTCTTTTAAAAGAGGCATTGACTGAATAGTTAACTTTTTCCTTCATAAGCAATTAAAAGCTATTAATGGTATAAATTTAGTGTAGTTATGTTTAGTTAGGATAAAGCCGAGCTTTGATTTTATATAACTGCAATGAAATGTTTATACATTGTTGTTAATGTTTTATGTACATGTTTTTTTGATTTTTTTTTAGAAGTAAATTTAATATTGTTTGCTTTTATTTAGAGATAATGTTTTAATTTTTCAAATCGTTACAGGAATGCATTGGTTTATTATTAGATCATGGAGTAAATTTATTTTAAAGCCTGTATAGAAAGATAATTTCAATTTCCAGTAAATAATTTGTAATATGTTAAAATACTGGTACAGCTTTTAATCCATTGCATTACTTTAAAACCTGTTTCCTTAATAATTTAACTAGTCTTAATATATATATACACAAAATTATATTTATGATTTTGATATAAGTATTTTTGTGTGCATTTGTGTGTGTATGAGTGTGTGCAAGTAAATATGTGCTGTTTAATATTTTTTTATATATATAAGTGCTTTTTTTTTTTCTATATTTTGTTTACTTTTACTAAAAATTTGTTGGTTAATAATTATTATTTGTAAAATGACATTGAGCTTTTAATTTTATATAGGTTTTGATGCAATATAGTTACCTTTTCTGCAGTGAATTAAGAAACTTCAGTTTTATTATTAAAACTGATTTTCAGAACTAATAGATTTAATATTTTATTCAGTAATAAATAGTTCCATTATATTTTTTGAGGTATATGTATAAAACCAGTGTAATACACAATACACCATATAAATATATACTAATCACATTTTGTATTAATAGGAAAATTAAATTCTTTTCATTTCGGTCAAAGCAATCATTCTTTTTTTTAGTACTTAATCTTGGAAGAATTTTGGTTTCATGCATTTTTTATTTCTAATAACAAGCTGTAAATAGCTGAAGAAAAGTTACTTTTTTTTATATATGTAATTAAATTATGCCATACATGACATGGAAAAATGTCACAACTCATAAATTTTAATTTTTTAATAGAAATCATGAAGTATGAAACTAATTTAAGAATTGTTTATAACATCTGCTTCATAATTTAATAAATATTAAGGGACTATGTTCAGTTGCTACTGAAACATAACTTCATATCCACAAAGGATTGACTTGAAATGATTTGAAATTTGATGAGTTTTTACATTTTTCCATCTCATGTGTATATGTTTCAGCTTAAAGTTTAAAAAATTTTGATGTACAGATCCCGCGACAATTTTATGCATGTGTTTTATAAATCTTTTGTATAATAGAACAGATTACAAAAGATTGTTTTTACAAACTTGTATGTATTAAACATATTCTAATCATTGTTTGATCACTTTTAATTTCAATCTAAGTTAAAAATAAAAATTTTTAATATTAAATCATTAAATTTTTTAAACTTTTTAATATTTTAATAATACTTTTGCCTACATAAATTCGTGCTTCAATTAGGGCTGAAATTATTACTGTATAATATTACTTTTAGTCAGTCTCTTTACATTATCACTGTTGATGAAGACAACCTTGGTATGATAATTTATGTGAGTATTGAGCAAAGAGAATCTTGAAACACAGAAATAAAATAGTTGAGAAAATTAAAAATATTTTCAATTTTACATTTTATTCAATGTTCTATGTGAAATTAAAGCATTTTATAGTCAGATGCTTGTTTACTAGTATAAAATTTATATTGTAACATTTATACAAAATTTTAATTTTGATGAAAAATGTTTTTTATACTAAAAGAATTTGAGTTTTAATGGAAAAAACAAAAATTCTCATGCTTTCCTTAATACTCATGGTAGAAATAACTTACACCATAAGGTGGTAAATATAATAACTTTAAAAAATATCCAAATAATTATTTTTTTTTATTACTTTCCTATTGGTGTAGTTGTAGTTATTTTGTAAATGGTTGGACATTATAGATTATTTAAATTATTTTTAATACATTAAGATGTTATTTTAAGATTATTGGTATTATTGCAATACAACTAAAAATCAATTTCCCACATACTTCCTTTGGTTTATGAATGTTTGAAGTAACAAGTTTTTAGGCTAGAAAGGTGATTTCATTGTAATTCATTCAAATTACAAAAAATTCAAGAACTTTATATAGGTGGCATTCATTTTCCTGATGAGCATGCCGGAAAACTGATTGCTTTTAATAATTGAGGCTCCTAGTTAAGTGGCAAGTAAATATTTTTTTTTCTATTTAAATATTGAGGCACAACTCTTGTACATTTGGTTGAACTCATCTGTGAGTTTAAAAATTAAATTTATTTTTACACTTGAGGAAAATTTAACTTTTAACTGAGTTTTAAAATAATATTTTTACATAATGTAATTAATAATCATCTAATGATTAAGATTGCATAATTAAATAAAAAGATTAAATAGTTAAGGGAAAAGTTTTAAATGAATAAATAACATACAAAATTAATTTTGAACTTGCCTTAGATCCTATCATTCTCAGCGAACCCTACCTTTAGGCACATAAAATGCTAGATACTTCATCTTACAGACTAGGTGTGGCTGAAGGATAAAAAATTAGTTTTGTAGATTGGTTTAATTTGATGACTAATGGAAGCCAATCTTATAGAGTAAACATTTATATTGCTCAACCAATAACAATCAAAATTAACGTAATTTCCTTAGCTCAATGCCACATGGTTTATTTGTTTCATATAACATTTTATAACTTCTATGTTGACAATCCTTTTCTGTTGAGAGTGATTTACAAATCTTGGTATTAGGCATGGAAACGAATCTTAAAGCCATATAGGAATGTCATAGATCAGAAAGTTTTGGTTTATAAATTGACAATAGAAAGTATAATTGGGATTAAAGTTGTTATTAACAGTACAATATAAAATTTGTCCATGAATATGTAAGGTTAGGGAGATGGTGTTGATATTATTGTGTTAATTATGAATATATGTTATAGAACACTACATTTTAATTGTAATAAAGTAATCTAAATTTTGGTGAAAAAATTTTTTAGTTAAATTATTAATTCTATCATAGAGAATAGGGATAGATGCTTTGAGGTTCGTTGCCATCATGATAAAATTTATTATTATTTTTTAAAATTTTTACTTGTATTATAATGATATTTAAGTCATAATGACGTATTTATTTGTAAGTACTTTTGTAAAAAAATATCTGTTAACTAAACTTTAATTGTTAATGAATTAAGCTCATTGACATAACATGTGTTTAAAGTGTTAATTTTTCTATCAGGCATTGTTATTGATTTCATTTATTTTAAAGTTTATTCGTTTATAAATTTATTTTTAATTTGTTTCAAATTATTTTATTCATGTGGGGGATTTGTAATATATGATCTTCTACTGGTAATAGAATATAAAACCATTGTCAGTGTATTTTGTACTATCATGTTTTAATTTCATATTGAAAAAAAATAAATAGAAAAAGTGAAAAAAAATTGTAAATAGTGTATCAAAAATGAATATATATGATTGTATAAAGTTTTCAAGACTACATAAACTTTATTTGAAGTTTATTTATTGGATAGTTAATTTTGTTATAGAGAAAAGTATACCAATTATTTATATTTAATTACTTTTGTTAGTAAACTAAAAAAAAAACAACAAAAAAAACACATCGAATAAAACGAATGAACTACTGCTATTTGTTTCATTTAAAATTTATCCTTCGAAAAATACCATACATTGTCTCTTTGAATGCAATTAGTTTTTATATGCATGATGAATGCTATGATTATTTTAATATGTTGGCTATTTTATTTTGTGTTAATTTTACTGTAAATTGTGTATCTAAGATTTTGATTTGATAAACCCATAGGATGATCACTCATTTCTTCAATATTTTATATCTAATTCTTTTAGATAGATAGATAGAAAAATAACTTTATTCTTTGACAAAGTTCCTTAAATATAACACAATGATACAGAAAAAAAAAGAGAATTACTTCTGGCCAGAACTATTACATTTAAGTCATCATATCAAGTCCTTTTAGGCAATGTATTGTAAATGTTCTTACCAAACTTATCAATGAGAATTTTGCAGGGAGTGAAAAACAGAAAAAAAAATTAATACGCGGTGTCTCAATTAGACAATAAAACCATTCATGAGCTTATTGACTTAATGAAGAAATCCCCGACGGAAGATGCTTATGTGATTCTCCGATTGGGGATAAGGAGGTAATCCAATAGTGGACATATTCGTAAGATATTGGATGAACAACAGCTTGGCGAAAGATGGCCCTCGTGCTTCTTGAGTATGCAAGTAGTCCTAGCAACAAATGGCCAGTGTGATTTGGCCTACCATATGTTCGGTCCCTGAAGGCATGTGGTACATGGAACTCCTTCAAAGGTACCATAAGTGATACTAATCCCACTCCCTTTGTTAAAGAACTGCTGGATTCAGTTGTTCATCACATCGAGACTCGCGGGACCCTAGTAACAGCAAAGGCTGCATCCTGAAAGATACGCGGCAACTAAACGCGAATTCGAATAAATTTTGCAAGAAGGTATCATTCTCCCGTCTAGTAACTAATGGGTGAGTCCTCTGCATATAGTTCTCTAGAAGGATGGAGGTATGAGGCCTTGCGGCGATTATCGGCAGCTGAACACAAAGACTACACCTGATAGGTATGCTGTACCTGACATCGCCGATTTCAACATTAGTCTGAACGGGATACGTGTCTTTAGCAAATATTAAAGTAAATAACCTTGCTGATTTTGTTTTGCTGCATCTTGGACTGAACGTTGAAAACCCAAATACAAGAAGAATGTTTGAGAATAGTCTCAGCAAAGAGACAGTTCCTAACATTGAAGAATTTTACAGATTTGTTAGGTCACAACTTAGAGTCGCAGAAATGTGTTCCTAGCCTTCTACATCCAAAACCACACAGCTTAAAGTTAAGCAAAAAATATTTTTAACCAGCAATCACAATAGACCTAATAAGCAAAAGTTTAAGTTAGAATGCCCAGTCTGTAAATCGAGCCATAAAATTATAAATTGCCCTCAGTTTCTAGATGCCGATTTTAATGGTTGTTGTGACCTGCTAAAGAAGTCTGATTTATGCTTTTCTTGTACGGGACCTCATCGCTTGCCGAATTGCCAAAGTAAAGGCTGTTTCCGGGTTTGTGGCAAAAAGAGTCACCATACGATGTTACACAAGAATGCAAACACTAAGCCCTCTCAGTCTCAAGTTTGCAAACAATTCTTGTGCTGTTTCGTGCCATGCTACTACCAACTCACAGGTACTTCTGGATACTGCCTTACATAGAATTTGTTCAAGTTCAGGTAAGTGGTATTCATGCAGAATGGTGATTGATCCAGGTTCACAAATTAATTTAATTACCACTGATCTAATGAAAAAGTTGCGCCTTCGTTTGGGTTAGTCCTCTTTTGGGGTCTGGAGTAGGTAATACCTCCATATCTTCAGCTGAGGTTAAAATGAAGTTGGGTTCGACGAGAAATAGCAATATATATGAGTTTTCAGCCAGAGTATTGCCCTGCATCGGTGGAAGTTTGCCTTGATTTGCTGTATCCCAAGAAGCACAGAATAAATTTGAGATGTACAATGAGGTTTTAAATGACGCTGTTTTATTTCTTAAGGGTTAACCGGAAGCTATTCATACCTCATTAGGATGGTATTATTTGGGGACACCCTCTCTGAAACCCAAAGCCCTTTATCTTCAGTACGTGCTTTTTTCACTTACACAGGAGGAACTAAAGCGATCTTGGGAGACTGAGGAAGTCACAGTTTCAATTCCACTGAATCCTGAAGATGTATTTTGTGAAGATCACTTTATAAATACATGCACTCGTGATCTCCAGGGTAGATTCCTTGTTTCACTTCTGTTCAGTTCTGACCAGCCAATTAGCCTTGATTCCACTAGAGAGATGACTACGCAGATCTAGAAATCTGGAAAATAGATTTAGGACAGATCTGGAGTATAAGTCTGCCTATGCTGTACAGATGGACAAATATGTAAGACTGGATCATATCTGCCTCGTCAAGTACGCTTCCCATCATGGAGTCATTAAAGATTCTTCAATGACAAAACTTAGAGTTGTATTTAACGGTTAGGAGAAGATGGTGTGAGGGAACTCACTCAATGATTTGCTTTTGACCGGTCTGCAGCTCCAGATTGATATTGCGGAACTTATAGATCATTTTAGATGCTTTCCTATGGCCTTAACATGCAATATAAAAATTATGTTAAGGTGTATCCGCATTGCCGAAACTAATCAGAACTTATTAAGTTTTTTTTGAAGAAGTGAATCTTCACAGCCGATCCAGGAGTCTGAGTTGGTTACCTTACCATCTGGGTTGAAATGTTCTCCCTTAATTGCCCAGAGAGTCGTTCTACACTTATTTCGGGAAGAAGGCCATAATTTTCCTAAAGCTGCCCAGTGTCATTACCAGATTTATGTAGATAACGTAATCATTGGTGCTCGAAATATTGATGAGGGTCTGGATCTGTATAATGAGTTGATGGCATTATTTGGAGCAGGTGGGTTTGAACTTAAAAAGTTCTCCAGCAATTCCGTAAAAGTACTTTCTGTTATATCCGAGGGTAGTCAAGAAATTCCGTTGTGCCCGGACATAGATTCCTCGACTGTCAAGGTTTTGGAATCCTAAACTCGATCATTTCAAGTATTCAATACAGGAAAGTGAACCTATTTTTACAAAGTGAGGTATTCTATCCTTCATTGCCAAAATTTTTTATATAAATGGATATATCACTCCCGTAATTTTTTCTGTTAAATGCTTATTACAATGTTTGTGGCTGCTTAAGGTTGATTGGGATGATGATTTGCCCTCTAGAGTGTCTTCATTGTGGAAGATTTTCCTTGAAAATTTCTGAGCTTGAAAAATGTTTGCCTGCCCCATTGTATTGTCAGCCAGAACGCATCATTCATGCAAATAATCACCTTTTCAGACGCATCCAAGAAGTTGAAGGAGCTTTACCAATTTGTTAAGGGCCGGTGTGAAAACATTTCTAACCATCTAAGTTGGAGGGGTATAAAGTGGACCTTTACTCCTCCAGCATCTCCTCATTTCGGTGGTATTTGGGAGACAGCTATTAAATCCTCTAAGAGACACCTTCTTGCCGTTCTCCAGGATCATGCGTTGCCATATGAGGAATTTTATACTCTTCTGGTATGAGTTGAATCCGCTCTCAATTCCCGTCCTATCTGTAATATTAGCAGTCAGACTTTGGATAACTGGGATTACCTCATCCCAGAACACTTTCTTATAGGTCAACCTCTCCTAGCCAGACCAGAACAAGAAGACGCACCTGTGTTTCCTTTGACAAGCCGTTGGGAGATGATTTCCAAGTCTTTGTAATTTTTGAAAGAGATGGTATAATGAATACCTCTATAATCTGGTGCCTCGACAGGGAAAATTTAAAAGAGAGATCCCTTGTAATTCTACATGAAAAAGATGTTCCACTGCAGGAGTGGTGGTTTGCCAGGATAATAGAGAAACTTCCAGGGCCTGACAGTGTAGTTGGGGTGGTAAAATTGAGGACTGCTACAGCCACTTTGGTGCGACCAGTGCACAAGTTAGTGCCTCTCCCTTCTGAAGAAATCTTTTATTGATATGAATATTTTTTTTTGTCCAAATTTAATGAGGAGTCATGTTATTTTAAATTAATTTTAATTTATTAGCCTACCTTTGATCTGGCTCACTTTATTTCTAATTTTCCAAAAATCTATTTTGAATAATTTCTCTCTTTCTTTATTGTAAACCAAGCAATTTGTGCCTTGCCTCGTAATCACCAATCTCTGAGTTTGTTTTTTTCTGTTTCTGTTTGTGAAATGAGATATTTCACAGTGGGGGATATGAACTATTTAAAAATAGTTCTAAGTTTCCTCGTTATGGCGAGTGGCGGGGGCAGATAAGAAGATCTAAAATATAACATTTAATCCGTACGACCTCCAGTTCACTCAGCACATTCCAGCACTGGGAGCCAGAGATAAGAGATGCTCCGAGGATGCCCATAGGTAAAGAGATATTTTAAGGTGGCTTAAAAACGGTAAGATGTTTTTGCATAATTGATATAATCTACCTATCCATTAGAATACAGTCCACTGCATAAAAGTAGCACATGCCCATAATTTGAATGTTACCTATTGTGAACTCATGAGAGTTATTTGCCTTGCCTTAATTTAAAATTTGGAAAGTTTATCTGGAACATATTTTTAGTCAAAATTCATTACGTTTTCACGACTCTAATTTAACAGATACACGCCTTTAGGGTAGTTTTCATCAACAACTATTTTACAAAATGGTGAGTTCATGAGAAATAAATAGTTGAAGGATGGTGACTTATTGAACATTGAAATGTGTAAAATAATGGAAATATTAGGAAAAGAAAATTTTGACATTCATACTATCTTAATTAGGTTATTGATCAAGTATAACATGATGCATATGCTTTCTTATAATTTTGGTTACTTGAATACAGTTGGCTACACTGTGGTGACAGTTAAAATGGTGCTTGAGGATCAAGACAAGTAACACATTTTGTAAATGGAAATCACTTATCTTTATAGGTATAATTTGTAATAATTAGTCAATTTCAAATGAGTAATAATTACATTATTAACTTTAAAAAAATTGACATGTTCAAAACCTGTTACTTTAGTTGAATATAAATTAAACAAATTTATATTCAATGAGGGTAAGAATTTTAAAAAAATTAAATTTTCTGCCGGTAGCCAGATTTTACATTATATTATTAACTTGAAAAAATTGACATGTTCAAAACCTTTTACTTCAGTTGAATATAAATTAAACAAATTTATATTCAATAAGGGTAAGAATTTAACACAGATTAAATTTTCTGCCGGTAGCGAGATAGGAGTCCAGCAAAATAAAAATTAATAACTATAAAAACAAAATAAGTTGCCTCTATGATTATTTTTATTTTTAAACTATACCTGACTCACAGGAGTGCCCATCTCTCCCAAGGCCGATGCTGTATAAACCTCCCCCACCTCCTTCAAAGATATTTTATTCCTCTCTTCTTCTTAAAACAGTGCTAACAAAATTAGAATTTAAGTACTCATAGATTATATACAATTACCCATTCTGTGATCTGTTCCATGCTTCCACTTGTCTTTTAATTTGAAACTTTTCATTTTGAAAATTCATAACCCTGTCAAAATGTGTCCCCTTTCTTATTAAATTATTTTTATCACAATTTAAATTCTTGACTTGTGTGGTCTATTCGTTATATTATTGATGTCAATTTTTTTATATTTTATTGATTACTATGTTTCATGGAGCTACACATTACCAAACCAACTATTGATCAGCTTCACCAAGATTAAAATTTAACAGAAATGATAATGTTATATTTGAATCTTGGTAAAGCTGACCAATTGGTTAGGTAATGTGTAGCCACAGAAAATATATTAATCAATAAAATATAAAAAAAATGTACATCAATTAAATGACAAATTGAGCACTTGTGTCAACAATTTAAATTATAATGAAGAAATAGCTCTGAGGATGTGAAGATATCCCGAAACCTCAGCAAGATGAGATGAAATATAACATTGAATTACAATGGAAGTTTTATATTGGCAAACTTTTAATAGTTTACAGAAACTTCCCAACTAAAAAAGAAGATATTTTTTCTATTAGCTTTAGTTTTGAAGAGTTGAGGGAAACTAAGTGATGAAATAGTTTTTATAAATAAAATCTATGATGAAATAATAAGGAATAATGAAAAAGATAAGAAGAAATGAAAAGATTGTGTGTAAACAGTGTTATTTTTGGTATAATTTAAGTATTTATTTAATTAACAAAGTTAATGGACAATGGTCTATACAATTCTTAAATATAATAAGAGCAAGTTGTAGAAATATAAGATAATTATACAAACTAGGTTCTTATCCTTTTTAACTTGGAAGGATCTTAGTTTTTTATTAACATTTAAGAATTAGGTATATCATATTTCACTTAAAATTAATTGACAAAAATAGTTCATGAGTAAAATAAATAAAAAATATATAAATATTTTTATACTGCACACTGGACTGATCATCCTGAAATTTAAATTTTCAGGGATGGATCAAGACATGGGACTCACACTTTAATCTGTCCTTGGTATAGACGTAAAAATACCCCTTAGTGATGTGATAACAGCCAGAACAACGCTTAATGTATCTAAGTTTCTATTTGTAAATAATGAATTTTTAAACATAAATTATATATACATATATATCTATATAGTTGAAAAAATGTACATTTAAATAGTTTTACTTATAATTAATTCAGCCATTATTTCACCAATTTATTACAGTAAGAAAGTAAATGGAGTACATTGGGTTTTAAAGTATCAATTCAATAAACATCAATGTAGTTAAGAGTATGTTATTGTATCTTGTCTGAGATTTACTTATCTAAGCTCCATTCTCCGAAGAAAGGGCAGACTTAGTTTCCTCGTTGCCAATACAGCTTTCGATGCGACCTGGCATTAAAACAAAGTTTGTGCTTATATTTGTTAAAATTTCAAAGAATGACATTTTTATATTCCAAATAAAGTCATGTATTTTGTTGAATGATTCTGGTCCTTGATACTCTTGATATGATTAGATTTTTATAGAATTGAATATTTAGTTTTTTTTTTAAGAAGCTTAAAATCAGAACAGCCAACTAAGTCAGATAATTAACCACATTTTCATTTTTCTCATTTGATGATAAATAATTTTTTATGTAATTTAGGAATAAATTCATTTATATGAATATTTGAATGAAAACAGATTCATTTTTTAAAATTTCTATTTGTTAAAGCATTTCCAACAAGTAGTTCCAAAAAGGGCTGGGTGGCCAATTGGGCATGATAAAGGGGTACACATGATAAACCGAAGTTTATAGGATATAAAATAATTATGAGGTGCCATCCTGGTACCAGGGAACTTTTAACTCTAGTCTTAATCCCTCACTCTCTCCACTGGCATGGGAAAATCCCTGTACAGAGCCTAAAAGACGAGGAAGGGGTGAACAAAATAATTTGCAAGTGACTGGCAGTATTCCCACAGAATTAATATATAAGTTACCCTTCAAATATTATGTTTAGTAATCGCTTTATTTATTTATTTTTATCTACACAATAGCAACTTTTTTAATGAAATAAATGTTTTGTTTTATTTATACACATTAAATTGCCTCCGCTATTAGCAATTGTACTGATGTAGTATGTACCTAATATAAAAATAAAAAGTAATGACAAAAGTTATTTTCTCAAGTTGAGTATTTGAGATATATTACTGAAAATTTCTGGATTCTATACCTACATCTTTTTTTTTTTTTTTTTTCTAATTTTTCATAGTTCTTTTAATCATGGCTATATGGTCATCACTGTAAGAGATAATAACTAGTACAGGTTGAAGATATTAAACAATTTTATTTTATATTCTGTATATATGTTTCTTTGCTTTTTATATTATAATTATCACTGTCATCGAGATATGCCCTTGAATACTTACCCTAAATTTAGCTTTTGCATTGAATTCTCGAAGTCTTTTAACAGCTGCCTCTAAGTGTTGTTCCCCAGTGACAGATCCTTGTACCCATGATATTTGATATGCTTCATCTGCTTTAAGCCTGCTGTTTGGATTGAGGTCCAACATCTGATGAATAGAAAAAAAAAGACTTATCATGTAATAAACAACAAATAACATGATCACTTTGAAATCTGTTGAGATTAAAATCAGAGATTTTTCCTTTTCTCCTATTTTATTTGATTTAGTATTGGAATATGATATTAGAAAAATAATTCATCCAGTAAGAGGTTTAACTAAATATGGGAAAAATGCATATATTTGGCTGTGCTTTGGTGTTATTACTATAATTTGGTGTTAGTAAATTTAAGAATGGAAACTATAAAATTAAATATAAGGTTGGTGATTACTAGCTAAGAATTTTTTTTTTTTTTTTGACTTGATTCTTCAACTCACACCTGTCAGAAGATAGCTAAGAATTAGATCTAGAAATAAATCTGGATAAAATAGAAATAAACGGGTATTTAAAGACATTTCTTTGATGGCTTTAGTGATAAGATGGGGATACTGTTATATTTTAAATATATGATGTATCTGAGATATTTTGTATGAATCAAAATAAAAGCATTATCAAGAGTAGAGTTGTTTTTTTGTCATAAAAGTGCTTAGTTTAAACCTGCTTTACAAAGAAAATTTACCTTTCCTCCATAGTGATCCTTATGGCCACTTAATCTAAGGATCAAGCTAATAGGTAGGCTGATAAATACATGGGAGAATGGCATTGACCAATCTCTATAAAATCCAAACATATGGATCAGGAGTTCAGTGGAACATGGTGTGTAGAAAATATACACTCTTTAGTGGGTAGGCATCACACCACTGGGTTATTTAAGCTTTATTTTTTAGACAAGCCTATGTATTTTGAATTATAGGACTGGAAAATGAGCAGTTTCATCCGCTTCATAGAGTGTTTGGTTGCCTTTGCTGCCAAACATGAGACCTATGAAATCCATGGTTCCATAGCATCACACAAGTGGGTCTCAGAGAAGTAATCCCTGGATCTCAGAGAATCAGGAAATTTTGCCCTGATGATCTCGTCTTTTAATATTAATGTGTTGAGGGATAGGAAACCCTTTCTTACTGCAACCCATTTGGAAATTTTGTGATACCATCTGTTAATCTAAGGATCCCTAAGAAAAAGGGAAACCCAGACGAGTTTGTAATACTAAGTGATGGGTGCGATTTGGACTCCCCTCCCGGACCCATCAAAATGTGAGGATCCAGAACAGGATATGCTAACAAATCTTTATGGTCATTTCGACAATAAATAAAATGTAAGGATTTCTTCACCATTAACACAGTAAATAATGGTAATACAAGTAACTGGATTTGAGCTGAAACCCCCATCAAATAAAATAAAATTTAGAGAAATAACTACTCAGCATTGGTGCATGTTTGTTTCCGTAAGTGATCAGCACCGAATACTTTAATGTACACAATATTCACTCTTTTAAAATTATAACGCAGGTACTTTAGCTACTAAATGTAAGCATATGCCAAGGGCGTTATAAGTCCATCCTTTAGGGCATTATACAGTTCGTTCAAGAACAATTAGCCAATTGTTTAAGTATTGTGTCATCGGAGGATACCCTAAACTTGTTGAATACCCGCAACTGGCATGCAAATGCGCAAGATAAAATAATCAAGGAAGTCAAGGACCATAGGCCAATAGCAAGGTCTATATAAATACCAAGTTCACTCATTCAGAGGGAAAATAGTGACGTAACCACTTATGTAATGTATTTGTGTATTATTCAGAGTAAGTGATTTTTACTATCAATTTTATTATTTTTGTTTCATGTCTATACTGTAATTTTCATACCATTTTATTCTAGGTTGCTAATTGTATTTATTTATTTGCCTACTTGAAATTATTTTTACTCTAACCTTAAAAACACAGAAAAGTGTTATTTTCAATAAATTAAACAAGACAAAAAATAAAACACAATATTGAAATAAACCTTCAGTGCAATAGATAGGATTGGCGGTCTAGTCATTATGATTTAAATCCCCCTCCACACATTTGTGAGTGAGTGAACTTGGTAGGTTGGTAGATTTATAGAATCTGGATTGGGGAAATAATCTAATAAGGCTACTTATTAATATGTCAGTTCATGCCTCTATATGTATAAATTGATCGTTACAAATTTTTTTTTTATTTAGAAATATAATAATCTGTCACATGGACAATAAAATAAGCTCAAACAATTGAAATATATTATTTACTCTTTGAATGACTTCTTTGGCATGGTTGGATATATCTTCCCACCAAGGAAGTGAAAGACCGGGAACCAACTCTGTGAACACTTCACCTGCACCTGGTTCGATGCCACATAGCCTAGGGAAACAGAATTTAATTTGTTAGTGTTATATATATATATATATATATATATATTATATATATTTATATATATATATATATTATATATATATAGAAGCTTATTCATAACTCCTAAGTACACAAGCAGGATACTCACATTATGTACAAGACTATACCTAGGCTCCACATATCTCCTGCGGTCGAAGCTTCTTTTTCTGGAGCTGTAATTAGCATAATTATTTATTATGTAAACTGGATTGGAAAAGTATAAATTGGGTTCTTTTATATTTATTTATTATATTTTATACAAGATTGGTCTATTTTTAATATTTAATTGTATTATATGTATTTTTAAATTTGTATTTAAACTTAACAATATCATTCGATGTGTTTTATACATACAGGATGTTTCAGGGTTAAGTGGCCAAACTACAAAAATGAACTAAGGACCTCAAACAAGAAAAAAATTTCCTTTGAAGGTATGTCCCCAAACGCTTTGTTATTTACACCTAAAGATTTTCGTTGGTATGAATTACTTAAAATAGAATAGAAAATCATCTTTATTCCGGGACTAGGTCTCTTAAGAATAACAATATTGTTCATATAAGTCAAAAATAAATCTGGCCAAAAGACTAATTACAATAATGAATAAACTAAAATACAAGTTATAAAATAAGTATATGGATAGTTCTTAGTATATCAAGGCAAACTGTTGTAAAGAGACGTAATTGGTGGAGGAATCACACTCAACCACCAAGTTTCCCCCTTAATTAATTATTTTTATTAAGAGTACCCACTTTATAGACTGGGTGAGTCCTAGGAGCATTTCTCGGCCCCATGTTAAATCCACGACTAATGATAAAATACTTTTCACAATAATAAAAGAATACACAAATGTAGTATTTTCAAATAAGAAAGGCATGAAATTCATCGACTAAAGATTTTCAAACTGGAAAAACAACCGAAAAATAAAACTTTTAACACCTTATAAACCTTTAGCATTGACACTTTTTCAAGAGAAACATTTTCATAATGTCTTTTTTGTATTTCTAGGATTTTGTTTGGGTTAGTAGAGTGGTCACTAGCACAGGCGGATCTACGGAGGAAGGAGGTAGGAGGGAGAGGCTTTCGGGCTGAAGCCTCCCAAAATGGTATATTATAACATACATAAAAAATGTTTTATAGCACAAAAATATTAAAAACTATTTCTTAAAGTATTATAGTTCATGTAATTACATTTGATAGGACTTCAAGAATCACTTAAACTCCATTTCATATAGTTAGTTAATTTCTTTTTTTTTTTCAAATTAATTATCGTTACATATATGAAAAAAAAACTTTCGGACTGAAGCCTCCCCGAAATTAAATCTTGGATCCGCTAGTGAATTGATGATTGTACTCATATAGTCTGAAATGAATCAATTACACTTATAAATTATGAAAACAAAGTATATACTAGTGAATTACCTATGAAAACTGTGGTGTGAGTGTTGGGTGCCCACTTCGAAAAGGACACATCCCTCAGTTTGAGTATTCCATCATGGCCTTCTTTGGTGTATATAAGAGATTCCGGCCTTATATCTCCATGGACAATACCTTTCTCATGCAAACACTGTACAGATAAACAGTAATTTCATTATATATAGAATTGATAAGTACATATTTATGTACTTATATAAACTTAAATTGTATTTGAATATTGATACCTGATTAAATAATAATACTTTTATTCTTCAATAAAAGTAACCTTTATTAAATGATATAAATAAAATAACTTGTAGTAATGAAATAAATTAAAATAGCTTTTATTTCTAAAAATATATAATGTATCATATATATATATATAAATGTATTATATAAATATTTATATAAACTATATAAAATAACGGATTTTCTCATAAAATGTGAAAAACTTTTAAATGCCCATTTGCATCTACTTGAATCATAAGATAATATGATCACGAAATCGAAAAAAAAGTGGTTTATAACATTTTTTGTACAATTGTCTAGTTTTATAGTTCTAATAAGTGAATGCTGGCCCTAGAGGATTGGCGGTCCTGGGCAATGAGGTCATCTTTTAAAAAATTATTAGTCATTATATTAAAAAATTAAATATATTTAATTAGTTGTTTTATTTTACTTAATGTTTAAATTGTATTTCATTCGATAAGTCTCTAGTTCAGTTCCTTTATTAAGAGGATAAAATCATAGGCTTTGTGATTTATTTTCATTCCCAAAAGGTGCCCTCCGGGACCAGCACACAAAATGACAGATAATCAATCTAAGCGGAAAAAACTCTAACACTCAATATTTACTTTTATTAATATGATTTAGAGACCCAATATGTAAGGAAATACATTAGAAATAACAATTAAGTAAAATGAATATATATATATATTATGTATTATGAATATATATACATAGAGGGTGTCCCCTAAGTAAAGGGAAATTTTTATAGGAGTGATAGCAGGCCTACAAAAAAGTATATCTGAACAATGGGACAATCCTCAGCAGAAAAGTAGGAAATCCAAGTTTAGTGTTTTTGAAGCAAGTCATGCTTTTTGATGAATAGGAAGCGATAACTAAAGAAATATTAATTTAAGCAATTAACAATTATTTCATTGTAAACTATATACAATTTTCTTTATATTAAAATAGAATTTGTCATTGTTAAAACCATTTAATGAGGTTGTGCGGTTAAACTTAGCTGTTCTGTTTTTAAAAAAATCATAAATTAATGGCAATTTTTTTTTTATCATTATCCAACTATACTTCAGATACCACACTTTTAGACAAACTTCTTTGTTTAATAAGCTTTAAGTTCATATTAATTAAATTGAGGGTTATTAGGCAAATTCTTGAGATTCATCTTAAGTTGTGTAAAGACATGATGTGAATTTCTATCCAGTAACCTAATAGTGCTCCTGTTTTCAGCAGAAATAACTACAATTAAATATTGTAAAGCTTTTATTTATCGTTTTTTCATGATCTGGGATTTATTTTAATAAACATAATTGTATAAATACACTTTTTATTTATAAATAAAAAAATAATATTAATACATAATGTTTATATATTTTCATTTAAAGTATTTACGAAACTGTGTTTTTCTCTCAGATCTCGATCATAGGAATCGACCCTATATATATATATATACTGTCTGTAAGTAGAGGGAAATATTTAAAAGGTTCATAGTAGACATCAATATCTACAAAAAAGTTCATTTTAAACAATTGTCCAATTTCCAGCAGAATTGTAATAAATTTTAGATTTGTATTTTTAAGCGAGTCACGTTTTTTGTTGAATAGGAAGCGATAACTAATATATAATTATCAATTACTTTTTGGGAAAGTAGGTAAAATATACTTTAAAGGAAAGTAGCGTTTTGTCATTGTTAAAACCAAGGGTGCCCATCTCCCTCAAGATCAATGGCACAAGAATATACTTCTCCCAACTACCCACACTCTCCAACAGAATCTACCCTCCTCCCAAGATATTTTATTGCTCACTGTTTCTTAAAAACAGAGCAAAATTAGAAAAATTATAGATCATAAACAATTACGGGAGCTGCAGTCTGTTCCATGTTTTCTTCTTGTTGTCCCTTAGTCCGAAAACTCAAAACCCTATCGAAATTGTCCCTCTCAAAAATTCAAAAAACCATCAAAATATGCTTTCCCTCAAAAGTTTTGATAGCATAACTTGTGTCATGAAGCTCCCTTCTGGGTACCCCTGCATAAAACTATTTAATGAGGACTGTTGGGCGGATAAACTCAGTTGTTTCATTTAAAAAAAGTGATAAATTATTTGCGATTTTTTTTATCTCCCTTCAACTACACTATATTTATCCTACTTTTAGAAAAACTTCCTCATTTATAAGCTTTAAATCTATATTAATTAATTTGAGGTTTATTGGGAAAAATTTTAGATTTATCTCAAGTTGTGTAAAGAAATGAGGTCACCTAAAAGTACCAGCGTATTCAGCTAATATGATAACAATTAACTGCTGCTAAGCTTTTATTTATGGTTTTTCCATGTTTGGGATGTTTAGTAATAAACGTAATTGGCTAAAACACAATTTATTTATAAAAATAAATCATTTAAAAATGACTATTTTTCACGTAAAGTGGTTATGAAATTGTATTTTTACCCAGGTGTCTGTCATAGGGATTGATAAGCATTTATCACTGACAAATTTAATGTTTCTTACTAAAATTTATGTTTAAAATAAAGAAACCTACTGATTGCTTTATTTATTTTCATGAAAATGTAAATATTTGGGCTAGAAACATTAAGTTTGTCACTTATGAATACGCATTAATTCCTATGACAGAAATCCGGAAAAGAAATATAATTTCATAACTCCCTTCCCAAAAAATTGTTGAAAAATCTTTATTTTTAATTTTTATAAATAAAATGTGTTTTAGACAATTATGTTTATTACAATAAATCTCATAACATTAAAAACAATCAATGTCATCAAAACAATAAATTCCTTATTACTAACATATACATTTTTTAAAACTTATCACATATTCATGTGTTGCCATACTGTCCATTATCCTCATATATTTTCATCTTTTGTATTTTATTATTTTCTACTTATCATAATAGTTCATTTATATTATCACGCCTTACTGTAAGTAATAAACAAATTACTTATATATGAATTTATCTCGCTATATCCTAAATTTTCATTACTAACATTGATATTTGCCTACTATTTTATTATATATTTTTTATCTTCTTATCTTGTAATATAATACGACAGTTTTTTGCCTAACGATCCTTTTCCCGGCTCTCCGGAGAGATGTATTTTGATTAATGAGGTATCAAACGAAAGGGTATTAAATGGAGTAGAGACAAATCATAGTAACATCCACCTGAAATTTCAGGGAAAAATTTATGAATGAAAAGAAAATTTATTTGAGAATTATTTAAAAAGTACACATTTTTTTCTTTACAAAATTCCCTACAAAACGGAAAAAAAAAACAACTCATGGAAATCGGACCATTATTTATAAAGACACCACATATTTATAATTTATTTATTGCTTCTATTGTTTTCAAAGAAGTGATATAAAATATTAATTATCATTTTTTGTACGTACCGTTTTCAAAACCAACTTTCCTAATCTCTGATTTTTTTGTAGTAAAGGATAACTCTGACAATTTTTAAGATTAAGTAACTGCCTTTTAAAGCCCTTAAATGTATAGTTTTTCAGCTTCCGTTAGAGTCCAATCTTATCCCTGCGATGGGAATTCTTGATGCCACTGTTGTCATGGATTCTGATTCTTATTAAAAATTACAATTTCCAGCCGTCTGTAGATAAAAATCGAGTACACCTGCAGTTGAAAAGAATAAAACAGATCATCCTAGCAAAACTACAAATCGGATACTCAAGGCTAAAACATGAAAACCTATTGACAAAGGGTGCATCCCTTGAGCTTCTTTCCTGGACGGTAAACATCACGGTGATGCACATCTATCCTGAGCGTTGTGCAGAACATTAGAGTGAAGTGGATTTGGAAAATAATATTGTTGAAATTTTAAAAAAAACAACAGGAAGTGAAAAACATCAAATTGTTTTTATTTATTAAAAAAACACAACTATATAACAATTGCATAAATAAATACAATATATACTATATATTTGTTCTCACTGGTGTTTTATTTCTCCATATCTTTGTTTACTTCCAATTGTCGGACCGTCATTTTTAAGATTGCCTTAACATAACCCCTAAACAAACAAACATAATTTAGCTATAACAGGAAAAGTATGTAATATTACGGCAAATTAACTCCACGAATAATTAAACGGTTACAAAATTTCCTAAGTGATAAAAAAAAAAGAAGATATAGAAATCGGACCATTATGAACAAAGACATAGACTAAAGTAAATCGTACAAATGTTTTTGTTTATTTTTATGAATTAGTCATTTTAATTCGACCAAGAAAAGGAAAATAAATTCTTTCAACTCATAATACATTGCATTAACATATTCCGATTGTTTTCTGATTAATATTATATGAGAATTATTCACACGGGCCAGTTAGTATATTATATTACAGTAATCTATGAGTAGCAGACTAACAGTTATCTTTGCTGACACAAAATTCACATTTCGATCATGCGAAGCTTGATGTTCCTTTCCGAAATCTTTGATTTAATTTTTAAATTAAATCTTTGATTTTAGCACGTTTTGGTTTCTAGGTTCACCTTTAATCCTACTTCACATCTCAAAATTTAATATCATTCACGTGTATATTCATACTATTTTAAGTTATAAATTACAATTTAAAATACTTTGTTTATTGATTGATTAGTCAATAAGTTTTAATATAGAACCCTACATATTACATATAATTATATCATCGCTTCTCAAGATTAAAGGTTACAAATGAATGTTTTATTTATTTGGAAACTTGTCGTGATTGATAAGGAAAACAAATAGAAATTACCATTATGATTAGTATCTATTCTCTATAGAATTTTACTAATAGTCGTGTTTTCTACCTAGAAACTTACTATTAATGCTGATAGGATATCCTTGATAAGAGAAGCGGCTTCCCTTTCGCTATAGTGACCAAGTTCTACGATCCTCTCGAACAGCTCTTCTCCGTAGACCCTTTCCGTGATGAAATGCATATCGTCGGGAGTTTGGAATCCCTCGTATATCTGGATCTAATGATGAATAATTAAAAATAGGTAAATTTGGATGATTAGAAAGTCATGAAAAATTATGAATGAATTTATATAAGTGAATAGATAAATTGTCAATGTCGAAACGTTTTAGAACCTCAAAGGATCCAATCCAGGAATGGATGACAGTTCGTATCCGGCTGAAGTGAATTGACTTCAAAAATACTTTTTATAAATAAATATCGTAATAATACTATTCTTTTCAAAAAAATATCTTTACTTGATCATTTACCCCAATTAATAATAATAATAATAATGTATATGATGTGTTCTGCTGACCATTATTCATCCATCCTACTTTACTTAGATTATCAGACAAATGGTTAAATGAAATTTGTTGGTTAATATCGAAAATTTCCTGGTGGACGAGAGATTTTTGTCAGGCAATTATGTGTGAGTCATTAATTTTCGAGAAATTTACAAAAAAAAAAAGTTTCTTTAATTGATTGCGATTGTCTATCCATACATATTTCAGATGTATACGTTCATTATGTATAAATCTTCTTAGAATTGGAACTCTGTACCTATTGAATACATTTTACCTTAATTAGTCCACTTTCACCTCATTGCCCCTCTCTCTATACCCAATTTTCCGTTTATATTATTCATCATCCCAACCCCGTTTCCAGTTGATATATACAGGGGTGCCCAGAGGAGGAAGATGCGCCATCAAAATTTTTGTTTGAGGGGGGGGTAAATTAAGTTTTAAGTTTCAATTACTTCATTGAAAATGCTAAATACAAGCGGAGCATTATCATCCCTACTTATAGTTTCGGCATAGACTCAAAGGATGTCGCTTGTTGGAAATATCAGTATGGAGAATCTTTATTGTGAGTATATAATAAATAAAACTAATACCTTATCTTTGGCTGTGGGAGGCGAATCAAATTTAAAATAAAGTAGCAACAAATAAAAAACTTATGAAAAATTATCATCAGTGACAGGTCGGTTGATAGTGTTTCAACATTTGATAAATAAAGACTAATTTTCTTATCTTCAAATTAATTTCCTCACATTTAAAATAAATTTACTCTCTTTTGACAACCCTCTTGTAATTATTTCAGGTGAAATTCTAATTTAAAAGACAAAAATATTTTAAAACCAAATTATAAAATACTGATGAATTCCTGGCATGGGCGTACGCAGAACAGAGCAAAGGGGGAGGGAGTGGGGCTTGTTCTCCACCTAAATAATTTGAAAGAAAATAAAACATAATATAATACAAAAGGTTTGCCGAAAATTCGAGAAAATTAATTTTTTTAAATTGTCCTATCTATATATTGTATTTCATATTGCTCCCTTAATATGCAAGCTATGTACGCCCTCGATGCCTGACATGTTACTATTAGTCATAGCTTAGTTTAATTGTAGAAACTAAAAAGGTACTAAAATGATGTCTGTGTATTATAGCTTGGCCACCTCATTTGCTATAGCATAAAAATTCTACTAACGCAATTCAAATAAACAATTAAATAGCTTGTTAGAAATAACAGGTATTTTTTTTCTTTTTAACTCCGAATTGTTTGAGGTCTTTTCGTGTAACGTATCGCTTCAATAAACTCAATGAACTCGAGCGCAAACTGCTAAAACATTATTTTTTTAAGCTATTGTAGAAGTAGTGTGAGTAGCGAATTCTAATATTTTAAATACTGTCAAAAAGAGGGACCGCTTGATACGAATATAGATGTTTAGAATTATTAAGCTCTATTAAAACTACTAACAGTTTATATCGTAAGTTAAAGTGATTGCAGAACTGTATAAGGATCAGTTAATAATAAAAGGCTTAGTGAAACTGAAGGTTCGATACCGACACCACCAAACTCAGATTGGTGGCCAATTTTATTATCCGGCAAGACTTTTTTTATATACACGTAAACCTCAGAGTGCCTTTTTTTCATGGTTTAAAAGTTTTCTTAAAATTTAAAACTTATTGTGCCCTCCAAAAAATTTTGATGCCGCATTCTGCGCCATACAACTCCCTTCTGGGCACCCCTGTCTATATCAACTGGACACCACCAAACTGTCCACACACCTCACTCCATCGGTCACCATCCAAACCCAACACCACCACATAAGCCTTAATTAAATCTTCCCACCTTCGCTTTGGTCTATCCTTCGGACATTTACCAGTCGGTACAGCAATTTTAACATTTTAGGAATTCTTTCATTACCAAGCCAAACAACTCTATCCGACCATTTTATTCGACGCATTGTAATCACCTCAATTATATTAACCGGATACAACTCACGCAATTCGGCGTTGTGCAACGTTCTAAATCATCCTGTTGACTCATTCTTCTTCGGTCCAAATATTGTACGAAATACTTTATTTTTAAAAACCTCAAGACCTCGCTCATCCCTTAATATAAGTGGCCACGTTTCGCAACCATAAAGAACCTTAGGTATGTTAATGGTTTTGTAAATTCCAATTTGTAAGTTTCGGGACAGCAGGCGCAAGCTAAGTAGAAGAAACAGTTATTAGTTCACATAACTTTTTCTAGAAGAACCTAAAAAGAATATTTTGAGTAATCTGTATTTAGACTATTTATTTCCAGATTTAAAATTTTCTTGTTGATTCGTTTTCACATGAAAGTATGTTGTTTGTTTTTTTATAGGTCTCTCAATAGCAGTATTGCAGCTGCAACTGAGATTAAGTTGAGGCAACATTTGGGATGAAGGTTTTCAGATCTTTGGAATGATCACGGTGGATTTTAAAGATAAATACGAAACAATCAGGGCAACTGTCGCCCATCAAAGACGATACCGAAAAGTTTAGAAAACAATGTTGGTAATTTCAAACATTTATTGAAATAATACGTAGATAATCAAAATGCTAATACATGTATGAAACATTGTTTATTTGTAAAAAAAAAAAATAATAATAAATTAATGAAAATTTAAGAAGAACATATGAGCTAATTTTTAAATTATTTTCCTGTCTGAAACCCACCCACAGAGTTTGTCCCGTTCCTCCTGACTCGCCCAGTATATATTTTAGTAAGACTTTTATTGAGCAATATTGCATTCTTCATTAAGGGACATTGATGATAACCTAAGTTTATTAAACTATAAAAGGTAAGTATATTAAACGACTTCTACAAAGCTGCATTTCGTATAAAAACAAATTAAATATTTTTCAATTTTGAACTTTTTTCTAAAATATCTCTTCACACTAGGATCAAGTAATAAAATAACAAATTTAATATTTTAACCCCACTACCCACAATCCTAAATATACTTTAATCTTTTTCAGTTGGATTGCAGCCATTGGTTAAATTTATTATTGTTAAATGTGACACCTAATTTAGGGACGTATCGTGTAAGTAAATTATTGTTTTTTTCTAATTTACTAGAGGGGTACCCCCTGTCTGTCTAATGGTGGACCAACCATTTTACAAATTATACAACTGTTCATTTAATTGTACTACTTGTTGCTCAAATTGTATGACTGTAGTTTGTATGTATTCTGTAAATAAACGGAACGATACCATAGTTCCGACAAATTTTAATTTCATTAAAAAATATATTATACATGGGGACTTATTGCCAATTTATAATATTATATAATTATAATTTTTCTTATTGTCAATTTGTAACAATAATATATATTCAACTTGTCCAACCTCATATAAGCTCAACTGAAAGATTTTTTTATTTATTTAATGCCTATGCCGTCGACTATTAGGCCATTCATCTCATGGCAGCCCAATACAATTTTGCCATAATTAAGTGGCTGTGGCTGTCCCATTAGGAAGATATTTACTAAAAACATCTGACAGAGCGGGGCACAGTGAGAGGTGCATCTCATCCTCTCGCCACAAAGGGCACACAGGACTTTCCATGACTCCAATCATGTGCATGCTTCTGCAGATAAACATGTCCGGTCATCATGTGGAAACCCGCCAACGATAATTATTACGTTTAATAAATTTATATAAAACAATTTATATTAAATTGACTCAAGTTAGACAAAAAAAAAAAAAAAAAAAAAATTGAATGTTAGGTATTTTTAAGTTGATCATATAGCCTAAAACAATTATTGTATTATTTTAGTTGAAGAGGGTGACAAAGGTTCCCCGAACTGTTCGTTAATAAATAGTGATGAAGTATTAGTTGGGAATATTTATTAAATTGGCCTAAAGGCAAATAAATGTAGACATATATTAAATATAATTTACTGTAAATAAATAACAAAAGCACCTGGGGAGGATATTCTGGTCGCACAATTCTTTAAGTGCGGAGGAGAAGAATTAATAAGCCAAATGCATTTACTGTTGGAGGAAGTTTGGAGTGGTGAAATCATGCCTCAGGAGTGGTGCACCAGTCTGATATGCCCGATATATAAAAAAGGAGATAAACTCCAATGCGAGAATTACAGGAGCATTTATCTATTGGCTGTAGCCTATAAAATGTTTTCAAACATCCTCTCTGTGATGCTCAACGTATTTGCTGAGAACATACTGGAGGAAAACCAGTGTGGATTTCGGAAGGGGAGAGGAATAACTGATCAGGTCTTTGTGATGAGACAGATAACGCAAAAAACCTGGGAATATAAGATTGACCTGCATATACTATTCATAGATTACCGGCAAGCTTTCAATAGAGTGATAAGAAGCAAATTAATAAATGCCTTACATGAGTTCCAAATTCTCAAAAAATTAATAAGGTTATTGCAAATTACTATGAATAATAGCAATGCAAAAGTAGTTATTAAAGGCAATGTAAGCAATAGCTTTCCAATGGACGGATGGAGTTAGGCAAGGGGATGCTTTGTCTTCCACATTATTTAATATTGCACTTAATAATGTGTTGAAAAAACTGGATTCACCTAGTTGCATACTTAATGCAATGGTGCAAATATGTGCTTACGCAGACGATATATGCCTAATTACCAGGAATTTAAGATTAATAAAAGAAATATTTACAATATTGAAAGCCGTAGGTGAAAATGTTGGGCTGGAAATCAATCAAAATAAGATAAAATACACGTATGTCGGAGCCGACAATGAGGCTGGTCCACAGAGCATTGAACTATGAGGTCTCACTTTTCGAGTGTGTCAAAAAATTCACATATCTGGGGGTGAAAGTGAATACTGAAAATAAAATTGCTGCTGAGGTGTACAAGAGGATCATGGCTGGAAACCGGGCGTACTATGCCAACCTAAAATTTTTTCGATCATCGCTTCTGTCGCGAGAAACAAAGATAAGACTTTAGTAAGACCTATTGTGCAGCGGAGACATGGCCCATTGTACGAGCACAATTAGTATGATGAATATTTTTGAAAGAAAAATATTGAGAAAAATTTATGGAGCTGTTTGTGAAGACGGTGTGTGGAGGTTCAGAAGGAATGCGGAACTATATAAATTATATAATAGCGCCAACATAGTTAATTTCGTTAAAATTAGGCGTATGGATTGGTTAGGCCACGTGGTGAGAATGGACCACAGCAGGATGGCTTATATGGCATTGTTCTCTACGATGTATGGCACAAAAAGAAAGGAAACACCAAGGAAAAGATGAGTACAAGATGTTGAGAGCGACCTTAGAACACTGGGAGTGAGAAATTGGAAGGAAAGAGCGAGCAATAGGGATGATTGGCATGCTATAATACAGGAAGCCAAGGCCCACCCTGGGCTGTAGAGCTACATAGTAAGTAAGTAAGCAAAGGCAAATAAATGTAGAAATATATTAAAGATAATTTACTGTAAATTTGTATTTTTAATAACACGGACAACCGAAAATTCGAATTAAAAAAATAATAAGAAGGTTCTGCTACAACAACTGGAACACTCATATTTAAACTACATCTATTTCAAATGTTGGCGCTTGCCATATCCGATAGTCCATTCTTTGTGGCATTTTGGCCGATCAGATGGAATAATTATAAAAGGGAGTAAATAATTAGAATAACATAGTACATAGGTATAAAATTGCATCGTGAATAGAACAAAAATAGTCTAGTTGTAATTGTTATTTAGTGAATATTTTAGAAATAGTTCATTAAATCAATTTGGTAAACACATGATCAGCTTCTTCCCTTCCCACAAATAATCAATAATACTTACCAGATTGGGATGGACTGTCCTCAAGATTTCTTGTAAATAATTGGTTACCTTGGTGATATTGACTTTGTCCTGTAAAAAAAAGAAAAACAAGAAAGAATTTATTTGTTGAATAAACAAATCGATTAAAACAACCAAAATATCTTGTATAATAAACAAAACAAGAATTCATTGCATTATGGCTTAACGCTAGAAGTGCTTCTCCAATTTTAATATTTCTATATTACATGAGAACATTTTAGAGTTCTTAATAGAAACTATCAAATTCTTGCTATTTTCGTCATCTTTGGATTTTGGACCATTTGATCGGATATGAAAGGTTTGGTTATTTTGAATTTATACTTAGCCATAAGTTAATTAATAAATATAATCTGCCTGGAAAATATAAGCTATTTGCAAACCAAAGTAGGTAATTGTTAAACCTTATAAACTGTTCGTAATGTTTATAAAAATTTTATTTCTCTCAATTTTTAAACATTTACTTTTCTTATTTGAAGTCTAAAAGTCTGTTGAGAAAAGAGTTATAGATTTACTTATACGACATAGTCAGTATTATAAGTAAATTTATGTTGCAACTTAATCAGTGATAAAACTTAAGTATACAAATTTAAATCATCAGCTGGAATTGTAATGTTATGATAGAAACATGTTCATTTTTGGAAATGATGGTATAATATGTCTGACATTAATTGTGCCGTTACTATTTTTTGTATTGTGCAAGGTTGTATCCGATTTATTGATATTTATATTTATTTCCAATATTAGTTAATTCTTTTTTGAAAACTTTTACTCGTAATAATGCTATAATATTGGTTTATTGAAATTCACAGCAATTTTCTTTCAACACAGCGAGACAATGTGAGTATAAAAAAGCGTGATGGAAATTGTGAATGAACTGCCTATTGGTAGTACTTCAATAATTACTGTAAGTTGGAAGATACCGTGGCCATCTTCTTTTCTGATAGACCAAGAGGTTATTGGGATTAGATTTGGCTGAAGGATGGAGTTCTTGAAAGAAGTTGATGGATTAGTCCTAGTCAAATTGGTAAAAAATGTTGCGTACTGTTGAACATTAAGGATTCTTTGAAAGATTTTGGATTACAAAGGTTGGAAGGGAGAGGTATTTGAGATGGTTTGGTTTACCCACAAAGCTCAAATTCAATCTATCCAAACATTGACCTTTTTGTACAAAATAGAAAGTGTGGAACGTTTCTCAACCAAATGTTGAAGCAGGTGGAACTAACGAACAATTTCTTCACATGTCAGCCCTGTTGGAGAATTCCAGGTAACACGCTAGTCAAAAAGAGATCCTAGTTTGCGAATCGAGGACCTGGATACCCGAGCACATTAGAGAGAGGGTCTCGGAATCTCTCCATGAAGTCAGTTGGGAACATTTTGGGTTCTATTCCTATCTGAATCGGTTAATATTTATTTCTCGGAGGCCTCGGGAATTGAATCTTGACACTCGTATTCTGATCAGTTCGCGATGGCAACCTCTAGGTAGTTCTCAGGAGTTGGCAAGAATAACCACCAGGTCAATTTGTACTCGTTCTCCTCCAATACCACTACCAGCGGTTAGACGATCTGTTTGACAGAGATTAGAGGAAAAACTGGTTGTTTCAGGTTTATGACGTATGGTTATGGTAGCTTAACGAGATTTGATTCGATTCTCTAGTTTTAACAGACTTTAAATGTTTTTTTTTATTATTGTTTTTGAAGTTTACAACTCTATACAAATTAATATATATTCAGTCAATGTGATATAGAGACATATAGCATGACAATGCTTGTAGAGATTTTACCCATTGGTAGCACTCTAATAAAGTATCTAAATTAGGATATCACGACACCATCTTCTCTTCAATAGCCTAGGGGGGTTATCAGGAACAGGAAGCAAGGTTAGATAAGAGAGGATCAGGATGGTTCTGAAGTTTATTATGGATGGATAGATATCTGGATTTGACCAAATCAAAAACGTATAGAACATTCAGGTCGCTATGGATAATTTTATTCGGGTTATTTGTAACAAAATAAGGAGCGTTAAGGATTTTACGAAGGATTTTGGATTGTAAAGATTAGTTACGAGAGGAATACTATGCATTAGTGGAGCTCCAAAGCTCAACTTCGGCGGACTTTAAATGCTAAATATAAATAAGCAAAATTTTTTTATTTTTATTTATCATGATATTGTCTTACTGTCTTTATTATATTGTCTGTTTTTATGGCCTTTGAGACCATCAACCATTCCATCCTATTTTCCAAATTAAAATCATTAACCTTTTCTAATAGTTCTATCCTTTGATTTCAATCTTTCCTTTCTCAACGCACTCAAGCAGTCGCTATTCCCAATCAACCTTTTTCTTTCTATCTTACTCTGCCCCCAGGAGTGGCCCAAGGCTCTAGCATATCGTCTCTTCTTTTTAGTTCCTACATCAACGATCTTCATAAATCCATCCTTCACTGTTCCCATCATCTATATGCCGATGATTCCCAAATTTATTTTTCATTTTCTTCCTTAGAGTTGCATGATGCGTTTGCCAAAATTCAAGAAGACCTAAATCGGATCACTATTTTGGCAAACTTAAATGGATTAAGATTAAACGCTGCTAAAACCCAAGCCATTATCATTGGTTCCAAACCACTTCTCAGATCCAATATCAATATCCCTATCCTGTACCTGAATGACCATCCCATAATCTTCAGCTCCTCTGTAAAAAACCTAAGCATTTTTATAGAAGAAACCCTCTCCTGGAGTCACCATATTGCTCACATTTCCCGACGTCATCTCCTACCCATAACCACATGTAGACGGCTGCGTTGTGTACGGTGGCCTCTCGGCGGAACTTGGGGACAGACTGAAAAAAATTATGAATGCCTTCATAAGATTTGTCACTGGGACCCCCAGACATTCCCGTGTTTCTCACCACTATGCTGATTTACGGTGGCTCTTCCCCTCCTTCCGAAGGCAATATTTCCTTGGCACATTCCTTTAACAAATAATCAATAATCATCGTCAGTCCTACGCATACAATCTCCTATAGTTCAAGTCATCAATCCACACCCAATCCACAAGATCACGTCCTTCTGACCTTTACACTCCTTTCCACAGAGCTGCCTCATTTAAACATTCCTTTGTTGTCCGTTCCACTGCATTATGGAATTCCATACCACTAAAAATCCGACATGCACCATACCTATCCACATTTAAAACCCTCTTATTCCAATTTCTCCAATTCCTCAATTAGACGCTGGCTAAGTATATACTATGTAACAAGGTTTTAATTTTCTTTATACATTATTTTTTTTTCTTTTTCGAGTATGAAACAGAATTTCGATCACCATTCACAAAGCATTGTGAGTAGGTATAATTTTTTGTTGTTTTCTTACCATCTACCTTATCTTCTACACACTGCTCTCTATGCGTTTATATATGTGTGTATATATATATATATATATATATATATATATTTCTTTTTATGTTCGTAATCTATTGATTCATAGGTAGATCACAATAATTGTCTAGTTTTTCACAATATCATTAAGTGTTTTCACTTAAAAGTCTTAACATATATAAATCATTTATTTAGTCTAGTTATTTTATTAATTTTTATTTTTTTAAATATTTTATCACTAAAACCTATAAAACTTATTTAGCGTTTCTTTCCAATTCTATTTAGTTATTAGTATGTTTTTGTTTTTTTGTACCGATATTATAATATTGTAACCCTTGTACCGATCTGATTTCCTTAATATAAAACTCCATAAAACTATGTATATACTCATTTTACTACTTAGATTTTAGTTACTCTTTATTATAATATGTCATCTGGCCAGATTTATTGTCAATTGGTTTGAATAATATTGTTATTCTTAAGGGACCTAGTCCCAGAATAGAGATGTTTTTCTATTCTAATTAAAAAATAGTCCTAAAAAAATAAAATATATTGATGTGGCTCATAGACTTGAATGAGATGAGAATATTTCATTTCGGCCGACGGGACCCAGAGAAGGTATCATAAACCTACAATCTTGTACACCCTACAGTCCAGCATTATACAAGATAAATTAATAAGCGATTTGTTTTAGTTAGAACATTTTTCATTCATCTTTACCAGAGATTAGTCATTGACTGGTTCAAGTTGTAGCAAAAGATAGATTTTTAATATCCACATAAATTGTTTTCCTTTCTGAATTGAATTATTCGCCAAACTTAGTCCTCTAAAGTGGACCTTTTTTTGTTCTAGTAATTGCCATAAATGTTTTTTTCCCCTAACAGCATATAATGGGTGGGACATACAACATATAATATTGAATATTACTCACCTTAGAATTTATCTCCTCTTATATTAGGTGACATTCAAACTTATTCCAAGGAAACGAACTCAAGGTATATTATGTAAGAGACAAACGAACGTAGTGAATATTACTTCTGTGACTGACCATGAGAATGCAAATCAAAAATTTTACTTCTTTTTTCATGAGCTATATTTAAGAAGGAAGTTGACTGTTGTTTACTTGATATTCTGAAACGTCATTACCTGTTGACTGAGAAGAAGCACGCTCCATTTCTCCTGAGCGATGTAAATCTCGATGGGCCCCGTCATTAACGGTGTAAACACTCATTTGAAAGTCAATGTGATTGATTCGTCAGAGATATAGGTCTTAGCTGTCTCCCTATCCTGAGGGATGTACATAACATAATATGGATGGTTTAAGCGATCTCAAAAATTTATATCGCCGCTAAAAAACTTATATAATTTGTTATAATTATAATTAAGGTGTTTGTAATTTATTTTGTCTATGTTTCAATGATTAAAATTAATAGAAGTATGGCCGAAAAGATATTAGGTATTACACTTTTATTTTCAGTTTCCAATTTCAAAGTCAGCTGGGAGTAGAAAATTAATTTTGTTTTGAATAGAAGTCTATTAGTTAATTTATTCGAAAAGTAACAAAGTAAAAATAGATAAATTATTTTGATCCTTATTTTTTTCAACGTTTCGGTCCAAAGTTTAGGCTTTCATCAGGACTAAGGAAAGACAAGATAACATAGATAAGAGAAACTAGTAGAC